AATATCATTATATGATACTTAAGAAATTGACTTTGACTCTTTTTGGTACATTTATGATTAATAAGAAAAAGCACTCTACTTGAATATTGTGATGGCACTGATTTAAATCAAAATTTAAAGAAATGTAAAATTCTTTAAAAAAAGAAGCAAAATTAATATTAAGACAAGTTTTAACAGCCTTACATCATATGAGTTGTAATCCAACTAAAATTATTCATTATGAATTAAAACCTCAAAATATTTTATTTCACAAAGATGAAGTTAAACTTACTGATTTATGTCTATGTAAAGTTTTGGATTTGGATACAACAAGATAGGAGTTAACATCATAAGGATTAGGAACTTATTGGTATTTGTTTAAGAATGTTTTATGGAGTAACCTAATGTACAAATTAGTACAAAAGTAGATGTATGGTCTATTGGGGTAATTCTAATTGAAATGATATTTGGAAAAAAACCATTCGGAGAAGGAATATCGTAAGAGAGAATTGCTCAAGTATATAATAAATTGATTCTCTTTAGGAAAGAGTTTTCTTAAATTCTTTTTAAGTTATATTCCCTTTATAATCTACAGTATCCCAAGAATGTAAAGATTTTATTCTAAAATGCCTAACCTATAATATGGAAGCAAGATGGAATATAACTGAAGCTTTCTACTCCAATTATATATAATTATGAAAAAAAAAACTATTTAAAGATGTATAAATTGTTATGTGAATTATTTATTTTTAATTATTTTAGTATTCATTCATCAAAACTAGCTAAAAATTTTATAATTTACATAAATAATTTTATCATTTATTTTCATTTAATATAAAATAAAATCAGATTATGATGATATTATTAAAACTTAATAATTAAATTAGAATGGTATCAACAATTATTAAGAAAATATTTATATAATAATTATACTTGTATAAAAAATATACCAGTTTTTAAAAACAAGCATTTTAATTTTATACAAATATTCAATTAGAATAAAATTAGTTTAAAATAAATATCAACGTGCAAATTAACAAAATCTTCTCAGTTAACATAAATCAAAATAAAAATACTAGCATTAATTAAAGTAAAGAATATTAAGAATATTCTTTCAAATAATAAAAATTAACTTAATAATTGGCAATTTCAAAGTAAATTTTTTCTCAAATTTCTCTATCATAAAAATTAAAACACAATGATTGTAAAATTATTAGAATTTTTCATCTAAAATAGTATAATTATTCAGTTTGTAAAAATAATGAATACTTTACAAAATGAGATTTATTCAAATGAAAAAAGTTACTCAAGTTCCCTTTTGATATAAGTTGGTTAATTATTTATAAGGACTGTGTATAACTTGGGGTAAATAAAAATTATAATTGGAGTAAAGATTGTTTATCCTGAAATAGTATTAGAAAAGGTTTGTAGAATAAGGTATAAATCTTTCTTTTCAAAGCCATCTATTACTATGATGAGTCAATAATATTGGGATTATTTCATTTATTTTTAAATAAATTTAGACAAGGATGCCTTGCTTATTGTAAAATTATTTTTAGAATTTCTTCTTTAAAGTCATTGAAATGTTTAAAGTTTAATATAGATATGATATATGAATAACAATATCAGTTGACATTATGAACCTAGAAAATCATTCATCATTTTCTAGTGGCTCTAAATTGTCTTCATCAAGAAAGTCAGGTGGAGCAATCACATCAAATATGACACCCTCAACTTCAACATTATACTAATATTCTGAGCCTAAATGATAGAAATCAATATCAACTGTTAGGATTATAGGGTAGAATTATGCGTTCTTATGGTTACTGTAAGTATTTGTCGATCCATGACCTTCTTTAAGAAGGCTAATCTTAAGGGATTTAGCTATTTTTTGTTAGGGAATTGGTAATTTGAAATTTTTTTGGGGAACAAGATCCCATTGATTTGTTAATTTAATTAAAATGTTATTTAAAAAAAAAAAAGTCACACAGCATTTATGCTCTATAAATCTTAATCATGCTACAATTAATTAAAATTAATAAAGACTTGATTCTGTTTAAGTTTTGAATATAATTAGATTTACACAGAATCCTATTATTAAAATCTACATTCTCGGCAATTATTTCTTAGAACATGACTGGCTAATTTTGTTTGTTATTTTGTTATATTAAGGTTTTGCAATAAACATAAATTATATTAGATGTATTGAGATTCTAACTATTAAAGTATTGAATGCTTACCATATTCGTTTTTTTTTAAATAATACGATTTACACTTAATAAGCAAGTCTCATTTTGTCCGAGTGATTTATTGAATTCATTATATATATTAAGTTCTTCACTATTTATGAAGAAGAAGGATAAAGAAGGATATGATTAATATCATAATCTGATTATGATACTACCCTTAATATTAATAATTATTTTAAACCTTTGTATAAGCCTTCTATTTTTAAGGAACTGTGATTCATCATAAATCAAAATTATGAAAATTTAGATGTGAAATTCTCTCTTTATTTCTCATTTCTACATGTAAATAGCATTCTTCTTGTTAATCTAAACATGGAATTAAAAGAGAGATTGCTGCTCTCCTTTTTATTTTAACTAAGATAAAGTAAGATGTTTAATTAAATTTTGTATTACAATTAAAGACCCAAAATATTATATTAGGTTAATAAGATGTCAGAATATTTATTCTGTATTATTTTTATATAACTTGTGGCAAATTTTAAAGTTATCGTTATCATAATTCATTTTTTTTAACTATGCTAAAAAATTAAAAAGTATTATTATTTAATAAAAATTTATTAAAAAAAATTAGAACGTAATCTAATGAAAGATTAAATGACAATATGTTTACTTAGATAACTATTTAAAATAAAAAGCTTATAATACTTAGATATTTTGAGATAAGATTGTAAAATTAAAATTATATGATTTAATACATTTAATGTAATTATTTACAGTTCGATAAATAAATTGTATAAAAAGAATTATTTTTAAAATATAAAAATCATATAATTAAAAAATTACTAATGGATTAAGAAATAAATGATACATAGGAAGAGTCAAGTCAAGAATTAACAGGAGAGGAACAATAAAGTGATCAACAATCTAAGGAATCTGAACATAAGAAATAATTCTAAAACAAACCCAAAAAAACTTAATTTGAGTAAAAAATATTAGATAGGATAAATACTAACTTTTAATGTATAAAATATAAGCATTTAACCAAATAATAAAATATGATCTTGGATGACCTACAATTAAATACAGAAGTTCTTGAGGAGAGAAGTTAGGTTGTCTTATTATAAAGATGTAAGGTATTAAAAAAATATTTTTCAATTGAATTTCAATTAAAATTGCTTAAAGTTGCAGAAACTATCCATGTTAGGAAAAATGAATTAATAATTGTTTAAAATGAGATAGATGATTGTTCACTATTTTTGATAAAGGAAGGAATTATTGAATTATTTTTATCATATAGAAATTTAGAAAAATAAATAATAAAAAGAAACACTTTATCAGAGCTTAGAAATAATTAATGTTTTGGTGAATAATCATTTTTTTCTGGAAAAGCTCCTTTGGCAGGAGCTAGAGCAATTTAAGATTCAGTACTAATAAAAATAACAAGAGAAAACTTTTTATTGATTCTAAACTAATTCCCTTCTGATTAAGAGAAATATTTTGAAATAAATCATGAATTATTAAACAATAGGATATCATGTTTGGGATTGTCATGTTTCTTATGTGGAAGTAAATACCATTTAGCATTAAGTTGTACAAAATTGATTTATATGCCTGATAAAGAAGCAGTGATTAAGCGATATCTATTAAGTAAATCTCATTATAGATTGTAATTACCAAGGAATGAAAGAAAGAAATTTTAAACACTTCTATAATTAGACGAGAATATGAAATTAGCTTTGGAAATAGGAAAAAAAGGTATTGCAATAGAGTAATGCGAATAGAAAGAATTCTTCAATTGTGGCTATTCATTTAGTAACATTAAAGATCAATTTGATATAGATCAGATTTAGACATTTGTCAATTATTAACCAAATAGAAATGTTCATGTAATTATTAAAAAGTAAAAAAAATATTATTAATACAGGTATAATGAACTTCTAGAAATGAGAAGAGGTAATAATATAATGGATTAAAATTGAATTCAAGGATAATTATAAAAATATAAAAAAATTATGCAAAAAATTCTTAATTTTAGGGAATATTTTTTGAATCCTAAAGGAATTAAGATTGTTCCTACATCAAATTTTAAGAGAGCTACACCAGTAGAAAGATTATTTGATCAATCTGTAGTATTACATAGAGCAGAGAAACAATTAGAAAAAAATGTTGTAGTATTCAAATTGCAGCCATATAAATATTCACTTAATAAACCTGAAATAAAATAATATTTTACAAAATGTAAAAGAAAATATTATAAATAAAGTGTATGGATTGAATGTTGATAAGGTTAACACAATAAATTATATGGGAGCAATAAAGAGATCACCTAAAGGAGGTCGTTATAGAGAAAAAGATTTTAAGAAAGTGTATTTATAATTGAATGAAGACATTGAACCATTCTTTTAAAAAATAGAGAAGTGATTTTAAACATATATAAAAGTATAATAAATAAAAATTTAATTTAATAATTTTGATAATAAAATCACTCAGATTTATATAACCATCCAGTTCTACAAAAAGCACCAGCCAAAACTAAGGATAAGATGGCCATCAATTTAATCAAAATATTTAGAGATGGTCCTGAGGTATCTTTGAGAGGATCACCAACTGTATCACCTAAAAATGTAAATATATATTAAAACCTATTACAGCAGCCTTGTGTTCATCTGATCCCTTTTTTTTCACTTCTCCAGCTTCATTTCTATAAAATCCAGCTTCAATATATTTTTTTGCATTATCCCAAGCTCCTCCAGTGTTGGAAGCTGAAATAGCCATTTAAACACCACTTACTAAAGCTCCTGGTAATAATCCAGCAACAGCATATGGTCCAAAGAATAATCCAACAGCTGTAGGTGTAACAATGACCTATCATTAGATTAATATGTACCAATAATCCAGGAGGAATCATTTCCTTTAAAGAGGCTTTAGTTGATATAGCAATACAAGCTCTGAAATCTGGTTCTTCTGTGCCTGCATAAATACCTGGGTGTTCATGTAATTATCTTCTAACTTCTTCCACCATTTAAAGAGCAGCTTTTCCAACTGATTTCATAGTGAATGCAGAGAATGCATATGGTAACATGGCACCAATTAATAACATAGCAAAGATGATAGGATCATCAATTTTAGCTCCTTCAGCATATGGGAATTGATCACCAACTTTATATGTTTATATTCTGGTTAAATATCCTCCATAGAGTGATAGTGAGACTAAGGCAGCAGATCCGATAGCAAATCCTTTTCCGATGGCAGCAGTAGTATTACCAGCAGCATCTAAAGCATCAGTGGATTCTCTAACATTTTCTCCCAATTCACTCATTTCAGCAATACCACCAGCATTATCAGATATAGGTCCATATGCATCAATAGCTAATCCAATGGTAAGATTGGAAAGCATTCCAAGAGCAGCTAGGGCAACTCCATAAAATGAAAGCATCTTCATTGATAACAATGCAGTGATAGCAATAGCAACAATAGGGACAATAGTAGATAAATAACCTAAAGCCAATCCATAGATAATATTTGTAGCAGCACCAGTTCCACATGATTAGGCAACTTCTCTAACAGGAGTATATGAATGAGATGTCATATATTCTGTGAAATATCCAATTAATAATCCAGACCATAATCCCAATAATGAGCATAAGAAAGCATGCCATGGTTTAAGTTCTGCCAATTAAATAGAATTATCTGCAGCAACCATAACAAAATCGGCAGGCAAACACCAATATGCAATACCTATAATAATTGGAGACAAAGCAACAGTTGATAACAATAATTAGAATTTTAAAGTAGATTCAATTTTATTGATGTGATTTACTTTAGAAATGTAAACAGCATAAGCTGATACCAAAATACAAATTCCAATACCGAATGCTGATACCATTAATGGATACATCAATTAACCAATTTCAATAACATATTTATCATCTTATAAAACTCTTAATTAAGTAGATGATACAACTAAAGCTGCACATGTTGATTCTGCAAATGAACCAAATAAATCAGCACCCATACCAGCAATATCTCCAACATTATCACCTACATTATCAGCTATTGTAGCAGGATTCTTATAATATTTATTAATAATTACTTTAGGACTATCTTCTGGTAAATTCTTTTCTACTTTTCCCACTAAATCTGCTCCAACATCTGCTGCCTTTGTATATATACCACCTCCTACTCTACCAAATAATGCAAATGTTGATCCTCCTAAACCATATGCTGCTACATAATCAAACATGGTCACTAAATCTTCAAAGTTATTCTCATCACTTTTTACTATTACTGCATTATATATTATTATTATTAATGTTAAAATTGATAACGATATTGACACTAATAAAAATCCCATTACACAACCACCACGATATGCCATCTTTTATTATATTTATACTTATATATACCTAAAATGCATTTGCCAATGATGTGATTGCTGAAAATGCTGTTCTAAAATTAGCTGCTGTTGCTATAGCCATTCCTAAATATCCACAAAGCATAGAAGTAGCCGCACCCAGTATAAATGCTAATGAAGACCATGGAGATACAAACTAATCATATATATATTTCTATTACTATCAATAAAACAGCCATTATTGCTAAAAATACACTACAATCTGTATATTCCTCTCTTAAAAAGGCTTAAGCTCCCTCATTATATTAAAACATTTCTTACATCTTAAATATGTTCCCCTATCTCTAAAAGTGTCTCTATTTTCTCCTATTCTGCACCTTATAACAATTCTGTTAATCCTTCATGTTTATGATGAATCTCCACTTTATGAACTGCCATCCAATTAAAAACTGCCCAAACTATACCACATGCACAAGCTATGAAGATGAAAACCAGAGCTGTCACAAATTCCATTATATTTAAATTTAATATGAAATCTTAATTTCTTTTCTTAGTATATATTTTTATATCTAAGTATGTATTAAATAAACAAAAGTGCGTAAATTGTCACTAAATAATAGGCTATAATTAATTATTATATAAATATAATTCTTTATAATTATAATAAATATGATAAAGAAGGAAGAATAAGTCCATGACGAATTTAAAAGACCTCCAAATCTGCTAAAAGCTAAAAAGCATGGAAATGCAAAGAGATTTGCTGCTCCATTACCTTTTACTGATTTTGATAAAGATAGTGTATGTCCATGTTGTGGATATCCATACAAGAATTAAATTCTTCCATTATGTGTTTCAATATCAGAATTCAGTTTCATAGGATCAGGAATAGTTCTATATTTTGATTTTGTTATATATTCACAAATCATTTTGCTCATCTATATGTTATTGTAATAAATAATGTAGATCAATTGTAGGAGTGTACACATTTTACGATAATAGTTAAGGATTCAGATGCTAGTTTGACAAGTGTGAAGAGGATATATACAATAAATTTTCAAGATCAAATGTTTTAAAGTATTGAGCTTGTAAATAATAAAGAGAGCTAGATATTGCAGCTAGTTACTTAAACTTTGCTACATTGTTAATATTGATAATAACATCTTTAATATATCGTCGGCATATTAATAAAATTTGTTTGGAAATTGATGATGCTGAAATTGAGGCATCTGATTATTCTATAATGATTTATAATATTCCAAAGAATTGTAAGAAAGAAGATATTAGATAATTCTTTTTATAGGAGGAGGGTATGGAAACATTGGAGTTAAGAAAAATTTGTATGGCTTATGAAGTGAAGCAATTTCTATTTTTAAAAGTTGAATTGGATTAATAATAGATGGAATTATCTCAAATATTAGAATTGGAAAGATAAAAAAAGAAACCTCCTAAAACAAGAACCGAAATTCTATAGAAAATAAAAGAAATATATGAGAAATTGGATTATGTTGAGAAATATAAGGAAGTAATTTTCAAGTTTACAGGAGTAGCTTTTTTATCATTTAATTATGAGAAACATGCTGATATAGTTTGTGATTAATTTTAATAGACAAAAATTTAATTGTTATTAGAATAATTAAATATAAAAAAATATTAGAACAGAAAGTTTTTGGGTAATTCAATAATAGTGAGAAAAGCACCTTTACCAGGGGATATATTATGGGAAAATCTAGGTATTGAAATAAAAGAACAATACAAAAGAATAGTGACTACGAATATTGTAACAGCAATTCTTTTAGCTGTAGGATTGACTCTAATATTTGGATTATCTTATTTATAAGAATACTTAAATGAATAAGTGAAATTCGATTCTACAACAACAAATGTTATAATAAATTTTTTAGGTTTTCTGGCATCTTTGATAGTTTCATTTATTAATAGTATATTGTCTTCAACAATAATAAAATTAATAATAAGAGAATCGCATTCAACAAAGACTGAATATGATATAAGTATAGCAAAGAAGATAGGATTGGCAGAATTTATCAATGGAGCAATTTTAACTTTATTAGTAAATATTTTAATTAAAGGGCAAAATGAGTCTTCTATTAATAGTTTGTATTAAACAGGAGGTTTGAATTCAGATGTAATGTGGATATTTATGACAGATTCTTTTATGCCTTGGTTTTTATTCTTTTTTGATTTTGAACATCTTAAGAAATTATACTTACGTAGAGAAATCAAAAGATTAGGATCAAGTTGTAAATTGACATAAAAAGAAGCTAATGAGTATAAAAATGTTCTAAATTAAGAGCATTTGAAGGTCCAATGATTAATTTAGCAGAAAAATATCCAACAATTGCTAAGACTTTATTGATGGCTCTTTTTTATTCTCCATTATTACCAGCATGTTCATTTTTTGCACTTATTAGTATCAGTGGAATCTACTGGATTGAAAAGATCTTGTTATTAAGAAGAGATTCAAAACCTTTACCTACAGGCAGTGATATGGCCTAAGCAATGGTTGAATTCTATATTGATCTATCGATACTCCTTTATAGTGTATATAAGTGTTATTATATTTTGATTAGTTGGGCAATTGTATTTGGGAATATATCATATTTGAAACTATGCATTGGTCAACATGGATATCTTTCATCATTTGCTCTCTATTCTATTTATTTCCTAAAGATAGACTCTTAGATTGTATCTTTAAGATTGGAGTTGACAATGCAACATAAGAATCATATGATCTTAAGTATCCTACTTTCTTAGATGATTATGATCGAAGAAATCCAGTTACTGCTGAAGAAGCTAAAAGAATTTGGATAGAAAGTTAATAATAATAATCAAATTTGGATATGTAACAACTTAATCAAATGTATTTCAATACTTCTATTATTAGAATGTCAGCTAAACAACTTGATGTTTCCATCTATCGTTATCATTTTAATATAATGTAATAATAATCCAGATAACAATTTCTTATGACTCATCATAGATCTTTTCTTAAAGTTCATCCAGAATTCAAAACAGAAAATAATTATAATCTTAAAAAGCTTTAATATTGATTTAATTAATGAATACTATATTATTTAAAAGAAAATTATGTGCTTTATATGAGATCATTAGAGAGTAGAAATAATAGACATACTTAAATCCAGAATTCATTTGGCTAATGTACACTGGAGCTAGATTTGGTCTCATTCTTAGAGAGGATAAGTTTAATTACAAAGAGTATCAAGTATTTTTCAAATTTATTTTTAGGACGAAGAATTGATCCTTGTTAAAAATTTTATCAATTGGTTCAATCTTATAACCCCAATTAGTTAAATTTAATTATCAAATTTTTAAAGTTTAATTGTTCTTTTTATTGCTGCTTTTCATATAATACCTATCTTGATAATTTTATTTGGAAGTAAATAATCTAACATCTTAAAACAATTTCTAAACTTATATTTCACCTATTTTCAAATTTTGATACTATATCCCTCAATCATACATATGCATTATCTCTAATATCAAAAACCAAATCCAATTTTATATTGGCCTTGTACAACATTGATATTCGTTAATTATCTAATATTTTCTTACTTTCAACGAAATTATTTATTGCCAATACAAAATCCATTCATGAAAAGATACAAAATCAAAAATTATATACAAAATTTGATTGAAATCCTTGTACTCATAAATATACCATATTTTGAGGAAATAATCCAGTCAATGATTTTAATGATCTTATTTTTAATTTAATTAATAGATGCAATCTTTAATCAGCCCTATTTAATGGATATAAATATTGATTATTGCTTCTGTACTTCAATTTTGCTATTTGGCTCTGGAATTAAAAGTCTAAGCTTATATATGAATTAGAAATAATACGTTTATTATAGTTTAATGTTGATCCCTCTTCTAAGTTTATTTATGAAAAGGGTTTTAATACTAACTTATGATGCTAATATAGAATAAAGTCAGCTCTCCAAAAATTTATTATTTCAGATTGCAGATGAATTCTATTGCAGAAATCCCTTAATATAAAGTAAGATTTTGTTTATTCTTAAAAATAAACATAAAATAATGGAAAATAAGTAACCAACATAACATTAATAAAATAATTATATATTAATACTCCTTTTAAGATTAAATGATTAATATTGGTAATAGAAAAAATCTATTGATGAAGAATTACAACTATATAAATTATTTTTTTTATTTTAAACACAAGAAAAATTGAATTTGGCATATATAGAGATGAAAAAATATAAAATTTCTTCATCAACTTAATCGTTATATTTTTAAATTTGTGAAACCTATTGTTCTAAATAAATAATACAAAAAATAAATTAAAATTCAAAATTTCTTTAAGGAAAATTAGAAATATAGTAGATAAAATAAAGTCATATTTTGATTGAGAGATGCATACCTTTAATAATTGAAGTTCTTGATTTGAAGAATAAATTTTGGGAATAATTATTAAAAGGATATGATAAATTAGAATAATTAGCTCTTAAATGCATAAAAATTAGTGATAAAATATAAAATTTGAAAAATCTTGTTTTTGTAGATTTGGGAATAGATATTTTTTTAATAAATAAGCAAATAATGAAATTGAACATTCTTGATTTACGCTTATTATCATTAGTTTTTGGATCTATATTAAATGATTATTATATAACATTTGATATTGAATAAAGAATTGATGATTTGTTAAGCTAAGAAAGTAATGTTTTATCTCGAAATGTTTAGAATATATCTTTATTAAATGATGATGTTATCATAATTTCAATAAGCATGATGAAAAATTAAGGTTAGATTTTAAATAAGAATAAAACAAATATTTTGAAATACTTCAAATTTCCAAATGATATATCTTTTTAATCTATTTGTTAATTAAATTAATTAATACCAGAATATTTGGTTGATGAACATGATAAATTCTTAAATAAATTTCTTAATACAGGAGAATCAGATTTATTTAATACCAGTCATGATGTTTTTCCAAATTATTACACTGGATTTTCATTTTTAGTAACATTATAATTATTTCCTTCTTATGAAGAGATGGATGATTATGTCTTATCAGCGATTCTTAAAAAGAATTTTGAACATAGTGATTTTATTATATTTGATTAATCTGGAAGAATATTAGGATTGTCAGAATATGTGCTTGAACTTTTAATTTAAGATGATTCTTAATAATTTAATAAGGCTATTTTAAATTCTTATATTTATTTTTGGTTCAAAGATTTATTAGTGATTATCAATTAATAAATTGAATCAATGACAAATTATTCTTAATAATTAACATTGTTTAGTTAAACAACATCAATCTAGCAAATTACTAATCTTTCTGAATTAATAAAATTTCATGATTAATATTATAAAAAATATGTTTATTTAGAATTTAATTCATAAAAAACAGAATAGGATTAAAAAAAAGGAAATTAATAATCAATAAAACCATCATGTTTTGAAATAGACTATGTAATTTAAATGTTTGATTTTGTAAATTAACATATTTAAAAATTTACTTAAAATAAAAATGGATTTTAAGTAGGATTTAATATTCAATTTTAAAAATTATAAGGAGTACATCCATTATTTATTTTATAAATTACTGAATTTACATAAAAGGAATTGAAATTCATTAATCCAAAAAGTATTGGAACAATCAGTGCTTATAGTTCTATCAGTAAAATAAAATCATAGTTAAAATAAAGTGATTTAAATTCTTTGAGTGATTTTGATATGGATGAATTACATTAAGACTTTTTTATCAATTAAACAATCATAAATAAATTAGTATTAAGATAAGAATAGAAAGAAATTTAGGATGTAATTTAAAATGTGGAAGAGACAAAAAATATAAAAGTTATGATTGATAAAGAAAATAAAGAAAGTAATTTAATATCTCCAAGATCAAATCGAGAAATCTAATTGTAAAAAGGATTAATTGAAGATGACTCTGAAGAAATTTAAGGAAACGAATCTAAATTTATTAAGAGTAGTTCATAAAGAGAGAATATAGAACTAGATGAATTTAAAAATCAGTAAATTGAATTTCAATTAGAAAAATAGTCAAGATCTAGTGCAACATCAAACAATACTTAGAATTCAATCCATCACTTAATTAGAAAACTCTAATATAAAATTAAATTTTAAAGAGGTATAGTTAAAGCTATTATTAATACTATTTTTCTATCGATCTTTCTAATTATATTGATTAGTATAGAATTATCAGTTGAAAAGAATAATATGGATGAATTAAAATTTAGTATTCCATTAGTTAGATTACCATAGCGATTTAATAGATTATATTGCACATTTATAGCGATAGGCTAATTACAATTATAAAATAAATTATTAAATTAATCCTATGGCTAATATTATGATTATCGTATTAAAAATGAGAGTATATAAAAAAGAAGTGAAATTTCAGACTTAATGTTAGATATCAAGAATTAATTCTCTTAAATGTAATAAAATAATCAAGTACCTCCTATGTCAATTAGAATACTTAATGAATATATTTTTTTATAAGAAAATTCAACAATGCTTCAATTTGATAATTTGGTTAATGAATTCACTTTTTAGATTAATGAATATCTTTAAATTAAAAACTAAACCTAACAAGAAAGTTTTAAAATCATAGCTTTATTAGAATTTCTAAAGGGAAATCTTATTGCTTAAGTAAACATAACTATAAATATTGTAAATCAAATTGAACAAGATTTTTTTGATTTGATTGAATTTTCTTAAATTGAATAATTAATTTTTTTAACTGTGATGTTATGGGTAATAATTATTTTTCTTATACTTCAATTAAATCATTGGTAATAACCCTATAAATATATGTAAGTAATATTATTGTTGATTAGTAAGATATCAGAAAAAGATATTGAATTAACAATTTCTAAAACTTTATACTTAATTGAAAGAATTGTTAATAACCCTCAGAATATAAAAAATATTAATTATTTTAAAGATTGTTTTTTAATAAACTAAAAATTATTTTTAACTTTTTAGAGTGCAAGAATATCAGAAATGCATAAGAGTAATTAAAGTGGAAAAATTGTCTAATAAAAACCAAAGAAATCATCTAGAATTTAAGAAACCTCCTTATCTATTTTGAACATTAAAATAATTTTATTGTTTTTTTGGTTAATTTTATCTGGTTTAACTGTATCTGCTTATATTATAATGAATAAAAATATAAAAGATAGTCAACCAGAGTTAAGATTAACTATGGAATTTGTAAAATTTAAATAAAATCTTGATGGAATTATGATAATTTGTTATTTGTTAAAAAGTTAATAAAGTCTAATTGAATAAACTCTATAAGTGTTTTCTTAAAATTCAGAATTGAGAACTGAAGATAGATATTTTTCAACCTAATATTAAGAATTACTTGAAGTGTTCAATCCTTTACTAATTGAAATGGATGGAATATATTCAAATATTTATAATGATGTTGTTGAATCATCAAAAATTAATGATTATAACAAAAATCGTTTATTAAATCTTTTTGAAAAAGATTTATGTGAAATTATTCCTAGCATTCTTCCATTCTGTGCTTATGAAAATGGAACTTTTCAATATTTTCCAACATATCCTTCCGCTGAATCATAATTGAATAATAATTAAATTTACAAGTATGGTATTAATGGAATCTACCAATAGTAACATATTAAATTATCTTTAGAATCATTTCCATATTTAATATTTATTACATACTAGAAAAAAATGGAATTAAAGACACAAATCTAACAAACACTAATTTATTTTTAGAAAGCACTGAATTTATCCAAATTATACTTCCTTATTTTTTTGACTTAAGTTATGCAATACTTGAATTCTATTATACCATGATTTACTCATCATTGGATATCTTACAAAATGATTATTAGATGATTTTATAGTTTTATGTATCCACAGGAATTGGTTGTCTGATAATTTTATACATTGTTTGTTTAATAAGATCATTTACACTACAGAGAAAGGTTCAATTAATACTTTAATCAATTATTCTTATTCCTTACGAATCTTTATAGGATTAATCTATTCTAATGTCACTTAAAAAGATTGATAGAAGTCTATGATATTTTAAATATTATAATCATTAATAACGTACTTTAAATTGGTTAATCCATAACTAATATAAAATATATTTCTATCGTTTATTGGATTATTATATAATTTCAAAAATAATTAATATTATTAATTTCATGATAATCATTCTTTTTTTAAAAATAATTATGAGAATCTATTTGGACTTTTTAATTATATTGAATTTAATTTTTTTTTTAAATTTGCCAATTCTACCAAAGATGTTACATTTTTAGCTGATTAACCTTTAGTACTTAAATATTAAGTTGATCCTGCTAAATCTTTTATATTATCTCTAAGTGAAGTACACTATGGATTTCTTCTAGTTTATGTTGGAGTTGATACAGAAAAAGGTCTTCTTTATCTTAATTATTTTTAAGCAGTTTCTTACTATTTTTAATTTTCATCCATTATAACTTTAATAGCCTAAAAATAGTTAAAATATTTATTACATTTAAGTTCGTTTAAATCATTTTTCTAAGAATCTAATCTTCCTTTGGTTGTTATTTCTCACCTTCTTTTTTATCACTTAATTATTAATACATTTTCATTATAACAGATTCTTCTTCTAAATGCTAAAGCTTTTTCTTAATTTATTTCAATTATAAAGTATTACTATGTTTTATTAAAATCTTTCTAAAGGGACTTGTTTTTTTTTATTTGGGTTATTATGATTATTCAAATAGTTTTTATTTCTATCTTTTCTTTTTTAATTTTTCTTAGGCTTCCAAATATCCAGAAATTAATTAAAATTCAGTTTTAATCTGATTGTTTAATTATTTTAATGAATCAATCTCTTTAGGTTCTGAAATGACATTACTACTAAATTACTTTTTAAACATAAGTATTGCTTTTCCTAATTCATAATCTTATTATTATCTCTAATTTTCTTAAATTTCATCTTAACATGTCTTTTGTATATCAGCTAACATAAAAAAAGGTTTTTCTTATTTCAATTAATTAACAATTACACCTGCTAATTCTTAATCAAGTTTTGGATAATCGGATTATTCAGTTTTGCAATATTATGAAAAATCTGTATGTCTTGTTTTCCTTGAAAAAGAAGATAATGAATGTTATTTTAATAGATTAGATTCACTTTCAACAGTAATTAATTTTTTTGAATGTTATTCTACTACTCCATCTTCAGTTGTAAATGATTAATATTATTTTGAAAGTTATTATTGAGTAGTTTCTCTTTCTGTTCTGCTACCTTTTGGTACTGAATAAAGTAAATATGGTTATTATTAAATAATATTCTAATTAATTTTGAAATATTATTATCGATTAAGTTTTTGAAAATTAAATTTTTAATAAAATTTTTCATTTAACATATGTTGATAATCTTCTACAATTTAAGCAGATAAAGCTTTCATTTCAGTTTTATGATTGTCACAAAAAGATGAAAATATTATATGTCTTATTTCACATTCAGCTAAAATAGTTTCAAAATATTTTTAGATATCTTAAGCTCGACTATAAATTAAAATATGTAATTGATGTTCATCTTCAAGTCTTAATACTTCATTACATAACCATTTTGATTAATGGATACATTCCTTCATTTATGAATATTCAGATAAATACTCATAACATAAAGATTAGAGATAAAGAATAACAATCATTTTCATTAAATATTATTCAACAGGTTTTAAATCTATATCATCAATTACATTTGGAGTATTATTCTTTTTTAAAATTGCAAATATCAAATCTTATAAAAATTTTAAAGCAAGATCATAATTTTATAATGAAAGTTTGAATTCACATAATTAAAAATATAATTAACCAGAATTCTAATAATGTTCAACTTAAACTTTCATTATTTCAATATTTTTTCTTTTATTCAATACTTTAATTGATAAAAATTATTCAATTTTTGTTAACATTTTCAAACTTTGTGAAACTTCATTTGTAGACTTAAATATCTTAGCATAAATTATTAATTGTCTTAATAAAAATACCCAACATTCATTTATATAAAATTTTACTATTATTTTAATTATTCTTAAATACTTTTATCTTTTTCTTTTAATTTATTTATATGGGTAGCCTTTATTAAATTACCAGTAACACAAATAGTTTAACGAATTCTTTATCTTAATCTACTAAGACCAATTTTCTATTCAATCTATGCTGAGTTCAATTCTTCATATTACTCTATTCCTTTCTCATTTTTTAACTTTTTTTAAATATTAATATAGAAAACAGCAATATATAAATTGCATCTATCAAGTAATAAATCCACTTTTGAGAGATTATCTCCATATATGTATTAAGTTAATAAATTTTATGCTGCCTTTAAAAGTCTTCTACAAATCTAAATATTTATTGATGCGACATCATTCTAAGAATAACTCATAAAATGTTTATCTAACAATAAAATGACTTTTCTATTTCCATTCTTTTTATGTTAATTTTATAATACCTTCTTTAACATTCCAGTTGCATCATTTAAGATATTTTCTATTGGGTATTTCTTTATTACAGGAATCGCAAAATCCATTTATATTTATTAATAATTTTATAATAATCAACGTTGTAATTTATTTCTGTTAAAATATTGATTTTATCAGCATTTACTACATTTATCATAAAAACATTATCTATGAAATAACTGTAATATTAAGCTCCAACAATATCAAATATATAAAATATTTCCTTTTACATATTCCACAAATTTCACACATAATTTTTGACATAGTGAACATTTAGAAATTTGTTCTAAACCTAAATCATAACCATTATTAAATAGATTTTTGTTTATTAATATCAATGAAATTTTTACAAACTCAATTAATTGATAGATAATTATATAAGAAAGTAATTTTATGTAAAATTGAAATCAAAATAAAATTCTTGACCTAATAGATCCTTCATCAATCTTAGAGATTGTTTTTTAATTAAAAAATCACTCAAAATTCTATAATAAACTTCATTATCAAAATAGTTGATCTAAAAATTAATTTTTTATTAATAGTATCTTAAGCTTCTTTATTATCTTATTATTTAGTAATATCAAATTGACTAAGAATTAAATGTAGAATTTCAATTAATCCATTACTAATACATAGACTACAAAAATAAAAAGCACTTTAATGACACATCCTGTAAATGTCTCATTCGGTGTTTATTACTAATTACTATGTTTTTTAACTTTTTTATTTCTTAATAATTTAATAGATTTTTTGTATTAAAATGATATATATAGTTGTAAAGCTTTATAACATTCATGGCCTGATTCAATCTTCTTTAATAGATTATTATTTCTTTAATGGAATACCACATATTAAGTCTATTGTCCCAATATGTTTTTTGTTATATGTTTAGGCATGTTTTGTTAATCATCATAATCTTTAGATTTATCTTCAAATTTTAAAAATCCTTCTAAGAGATCTATTTTATATATTATTTAATTTATTAGTCTTTATTAAACTTTAATCTTAATATTAAGGTTATAAAGGGTCTTAAATCTTCTTTCCAATTAATGTGAAATTTTTACTGTAATAACTATTTATTATTTCAATTAATTGTTTTTATTTAATGCATGGATTATTTTAAGATTTTTCTTTTGGCTCATTAGATGAAATAAATTCTAAAATTGTATTTGAATTTAACACTAATAAGATCAAAATTGAATTTAATCTACTTTGCATATTTAACATATTTCTATACGAATTTTATTGACTTTCTATTCTCAATTAATTAATGAATAAAGATAATTAAAGAATCCACTATGAACTTCAGATAGTTATGAACTGTAAATTTACTAAGCATTTCTAAATTCTATACTAACATATCTAATCTCCTATTAAATATCTTAACAAAAATGGAAATATTTCTAAAATATATTAATTTATTATTTGGATTTCATAATCTTAATAGGTATGAGATCAATTAAATTCTTTAATTTTATAGAAGATTTATTATTGTATGTTTTTTCTATCCATCAAATCTGATGTAGTTGTTTACATTCTAAATAGTATTTCATCATTGTTTTAGTATATTTATATATTCATTTATTTATATATTTATATATATTGTTTGCAGTATCATAAAAATTTATAATCATATTACAATTACACTATTTATTAAATTCTTTTTTTAGAATACTCTAAACTACATGTCAAAATTTCAAGTTTTCAAAGTAAAAATATTTTGTATAATTAAATCTCAAAATCATTTGACACAGCAGTAATTTCATAAATCATTCTGAACATTAGTTTTATTAATCGATTCCATAATTAGCAATAATATTTTGTATTTATTGTTTACTTACATATATATTAAATTCTTAAATTGTAAAGATTGATCTCTTTCTTAACAAATTATGAGGTAATACTTGATAAACGAAAAAACTTAAATGATTATGAAACTATAAAAAAAGTTAATACGAAAAATGTTCATTCTATAACCATAGTAGAATTATTATTGATCAGTTGTGTTTCTAAAAAAGATTAGGACACTCTCTGATGAAGTAACTTAGAGGCATATACATTCAATGTTAGAGATTAGTTTGACTCAGTTAAACATAAAATTGATAACATTTTTTGTTAAGTTTCTAATCTTTTCATTCTCCAATATTCTTATTCTTTCAAAAGAGGATCTGTCTTTGTTTGTATTCCTAAATTGTGAAGGTATTTCACTATTCCCATTTCGGTCTTTTTTTCTTCAGTATTTGAATATAGTTCAATTGAATCATTCAATTCTCTTAAAATCATAGGATTTTCATAATTGGAATTGGAAACCCTTAATATATCAAAAATTTATTCAGTTTTATGAATTTTCGATTTCATCAAAACAATTATCAAGTGCAATCTAAAAAAAAAATATTTATGAATTATATAAATTTTCTTCCTATAAATACTTAATTTAATTTAAGATATTCTCAAAACATACCAGAATATTCTGACTTACAAACTAAATCTTAAAAAACTCATTTCCGTATTGTCCAAGTCGCCTTAGTTTTATCTCTAAAATTGAATTTGCTAGAAACTCATAAACTTGAATTTAATTTTTAACCAACAACTTATATTATAATACTTCAATATAATGGTTATAATAAAACAATAAAAAAAGAATACAATAATCAAATATATCATGATTGATAATGACAAAAATGATCTTTAAATGAGGGTACCAAATAATTTTACTAATTCAATTTTTCAATTTTTTCATTCAACAAATTATCATCCTCATCATTAGAATCTACAAATGTCTCTGAATTAATTTTTTTATTTTGCTTTAATTAAACAAATAGAGAATTATGATCTTATCCTTGTATAACAAATGAACTATTTTCATCAGAAAAATTATTGAGAGTTTTCTTAATATCACATTCACTATCTTTTATTTCTATAATTGTTCTTAAACTAGGGAAAACCATTTGTTAAGTCGTTAATTTCTATATTTTCTTTTCTTTATTGTTTATTAACCAAACATGTTTTAATGCATCATTAATACTTATTCTAAGATTAGGATTTGGCTAAATCATCCTTTTTATTAAATCTAATTAATTTATACTAAATAATTGTGGATAATCTTAAGATTATTTTTATTTTAATATTAATTTTTCTTATTAAATAATTAGTTGCATTAATTTTGATGTTTAAAATTAGAAATAATCTATATTGAATGTTTAATTATAATTAAAAAATGTTATTAAACCTAAAATTATTCCTAATTAATAAATATCTGTTTAAGTTGATGGATTTATTCCATTATTAATTTCAGGCGCTATCAAATAATTTGGTGTAGATTGAATATACTTAGAAATTGTTTTTGAATCGTAAAACTAAAGTGATAATTTTATTTACTTTATAATTGGAATTAATCAAATACGCTCCAAATTAAATATTTATATTGCTATAACAAACTATATTTTCAAATGATATTTTCCCATGAAATAATTCTTCATCTGATAGAGATTTAAGTGAGAGTAATATAGAATTACAGATTGTTGCTATTTATTATTAGGTTAAAAAATTTTTTTTTGATTAATTATAAAATTAATCTAGAGAATTTCCCTTAAAATATTTACAAACTATAAATAACATTTATTTCTCTTCAAAAACACCAATAGTTTCTATGTAATTAATAATAGAGGAATTTCTTAAGATTTTTAAATAATTGTCAAGTAATTCTGCCTAGTCATAATTTTGAATAGTTGCTAAATTAATCACTTATGAGGTAAATAATGATTTTTGTTTTTTATGTTAAATTTAATAAAAATTTTAACATGTCAATTCTACTACTTTGTATTTCTTATAAAAATTATTTCTTTTGCAAAATTTCTTTATACAATTATTCCACTATTTTAGAGATAATGGATGAGAAAATATCAACACTAATTATCCACTTTAATTAATAAGTTTCAAAAAATATGCTCTAAATTGGGATGATTAATATTTCTTCTTCTCAATAAAACAATCGTTTAAAACAAGACAAAATTAATTGTCATAAAATAATAAACCTCTGAACTAAGAAATCTTTTTTTATCCAAACCATTTATCTCCCCATATTGTTGCTATTCCTTCATGCTCTGGAACATGAATATTAATTGACAAAGAATCTTTAGGAATCATTTTAATATTAGATTTTAATTCCAACATCGAAGAATTTTTTATTATCCAATCGAGGCTGGTTTGATTTTCTAAAGCAGCTAATTTATCAAGTCTTTCACTTGAAGCTCTTGGTCGAATATTGTTTTTAATCATTTAATTAATAATCAAAATTTTTTATTCCAATATTTAAGGGTTCTTGATTAGTTTTTTTATTGACTTTAAATATTTAGATTATCATTAATTAATTAATATATAGATTATGTATTTTTACTTTTAGAAAAACATTTTATTTTCATATAGTGCAATATCCACTAAAAATGTTTAGATGAATTAATAAAATAATCTATTCCAAATTGTATTATCATTTATCATTTCATAATAATTCTTAAAACTTAATAAGTTAAAAGATAAAAATTATTTTTATGCTCCATCTAATTTTTATAATTTTCATTACTCAGAATTATTTTAAACTATAAAAATATTTTTGCTTTTTTAATCAAAAATTTATTGCTTTTTCATGGATTATATTATTTTACTATATTAGAAATGTTTCAAAAACATAAAACTAAAAATTTTTTAAATTTAATTTTTATTGTTCCATAATCTATACAGAAATATAGACTTAAAGAAATTCCTATATATTTTCTCAATAAATTTAAAAAAAAGTTAATAACTCATATAAAAAAAACATTTGTTTATAATTTATATACTAAAAAATTTTATATTAATGGAAGGAGTAGAAGCATATGAAATAATTAAGTTATAAATATTTCTATACATTTAATTTAATGAAGGATGATCACTTTCAATTATTTTCTTCCTCAGTAATCATACCCATTCTTAGATTTTCTTACTAAAATATTTTAAATTTCTTAATGAATTCAGATGGATAAAGTAAATATCCCATATATTTCTTGATTTAAGTTTGTAATTAAACATTTTGTGGTTTATTTGCTTTACTAATTGATTTAGAAACATTATATTAAGGGAAATAATCATGATAATTTTTAATAGTTTCAAATTCTACTAATCCTTTTTTATGATATTTTTATTTGTTAATTTGTTTGAGATATAGTAGTTCAATTGCTTCTTTATCACCAAAATTCATATTTTTAATTTATGATAAATTTTCATAACGTAATTTTAATTCGTCATCAAAATTAATTTCATCATTAGTATTAATTAACTCTTATAAATAGCTTTATTTATAAGCATTAGTATTTAAGCTCATTTAATACATATTTAAAATATTTATTGCTTAAGATTACCTTCTTTAAGTTAAACTATTCTATCTTTATAATCCCATATTATCTAATTGAATATCAAGTTATTATTTTTTGTTTGATTAATTCATTCCAGCTTTTTTATTATTATTAATGCTTCTTTTTATTTAATCAATATTATTGCCTGGTATATAAGAAACTGCTAAAAGTGAATCTCTTTTTGTTGGTTATTTTTAAATTAAAGTTGTAGAAACTCGTAAATTATCAATTTTAATTTCAGGTGTCTCCTTAATATCATCCTAAAAATTATTTTAAAGAGATTAAAAATTAATATTATTACTATTAATACTAATATTAGGTGGTTGAGGTAAATAGTATTTTTTCAGAAATTATTATTTACTATCATTAAAATCAGGATTTTCAAGTTCTTAAAGCAAAATCCTAGATAATTTATAATATCTTCTTGGGAAATCTTGCCTTGCTTATGATTAAGGATATTAAAATCTTTTAATTAAAAGATCTTTTTAAGGAATATAATGGAGCATTGAACAATCAATAATTTCATGTCCTGATTAATAACAAGAATCACATTATTTTTTAATATAGGAAGACTTAAAATTAAATAAAATGTCATCTCTTATTGAACAGAACTTTTCATAATCATTAGGAAATTCTTTTAATTCTTATAAGAAATCTTATCTAGATAAAATCAATAATTTAGTAAATCCAATACTTCTAATTTTTTTATTCTATCTATGATGAAATCCTAAAAATAAGTTATCCAATCCTATAACATCATCTTTCTTTGCTTTTTAAATGACTATTCCAGATTCAATGGTTATATTAATTTCTCCTTCATCAACAAAATAACATTAAATATTATTATCTAATTCAATAATTTGTTCTGGTTATAATTAAATTTATTGGACCTTTTTTAATAAATTCTATTATAATTGATGAGTGAAATTTTATTTTAATAGAGTAACTTTAGCGAATATTCTACTGTTTGCTTAAATTATGAGTTATTCTCTTAAATTTTCTGATAATTGAGAGATTATTACTTTTTCATCTTCTGTATCTTAGCCTTATAAAGATGTCCAATAATGATTTAAATATTATCTAATTTAGTTTTATAAATTATAAGGCACTCTCTTTTTATTCATATAACTATTGATTGTTCTCAATTTATTTTTGGTTTCTTCACCATAATCTGATATTTTTTCAATTATGGATCCAACAGTATTAATTGAATATGGAAGTTGAATACTTGATATTAGAATTAGAACTATACAAATACTTTTTTCTAATCCACTTTTAGGAGTAATATCACCATATCCAACTGTGAACATAGTCACACATACATAATAAAATGATTATAAATATTCATCTGTCCAATCTATTATCGGAAGATATTCTAAAGTGTCAAGCCAAGTAAACTCATCATTTTCTCTACTATAATTCCCAACCTTTATATATATTTAAATATATTACCCAATACCATAAACAAGAAAATAAGTGGATAACATAAAATAATAAAAGTAAGAATTTTAATAATTCTAAACAGCTAGATACTATCTTAGATAAATTTAATGCGGATTCATATTAACTTGTTTTATAGTGTACATTTATTTAGTGAGATAATATACTTAATAATATTAAGTAAACAGGGTTCTGAGTCACATTTATTATTGTATCGGTTGTATTGCAAATTATAAATAATATTATCAAAATGATAGTTGATATCCATTCTAATCCAAAAGATTTTGTAATTTAATGTTTAAAGATCTAAATTCTATTGGTGATTAATGATCCTGCATTATAATAAGCTGTATTTAGACCAATTATAAAATCGACAGCCAATATGATTAGCATAATAATAGTCGATGAATAATATCTACTGTAAATCAAAGAAGTGTGTGTCCATGCTAATTCTAAAGGAATTAGATACAAAAAGTATAATTTGGATGAAATTGCAATTATATCCCATATCACAATTTTAGTACTTTCTGGATATAATAAAGGCAAAGCATTAATTTGTTATGTTATATTATCCACAAAGGGTTTGAAAATCCTTAGAATTTTCTTAGTTAGCAACCTATCAATAAAAATCTTAAAGGACGTTTATTTTTATATGAAACTAATATTTCCAATAGCTTTATCATTCAAAAAGCTTAAATGATAATTTGTAAGATTTTTCAAGTTATTTTTACGAGAAAGCAACATTTCAAAGAACTTTTTAACTTTATTATTATCTGCCTAAAGACTTTTAAGTACTAATCGTTCTTAATAATCGACAGAAATTTATTTTCCGACAAAATTCAGAAGTCTTTATCCAAAGCTTTTTGTACGGGAAGCTAAATAACTGCTTTTTCTGACACCAGAGATTCTTAATTATTGATCAACTTCTCTTTGGGTTTCTAAACGCTCTCGATTTAATTATGGCGATTTCTAAATTCCATACTGATTACTCATGATAATTTTAATAAATAGAATGATAAAAACAAAATAAAAGTCAAGAATGATTTTATTAATTCTTGTAATTATTTAAATAAAGTTATTGATTTTATTTAGCTACTTTCTTAATCAATTATTAAATGCCTTGCTATTATTAAATGGTAAGAATTTTATTTTAAAAGGAACCTTGCTGAATATTATTTGAACTTGTTTTCATTAAACTATTATAATCAAAGTTATTATTCTTAAAAAGTTGTTCAAGATTTGTTCTTCTTTCTGATAAACATACTTATTCTTATAGATTGTCTTTTTATAATATGGCTCTATTATCTGAAACCTATTTTCTATGTGTTTAAGATTAGAATGGTTATATTTCTTTAAATCTGTTATTTGATAATTAAAGTTTAGTAGGATCATTTTGAAGAGTTATAATTCTTTCTTAATTAGATCCTTAGCGAATATGTATGTTTTAAGAGGCTGTTTTTCTCGAGATTTCTTTATTTAAATTGATTGGAATATTTTTTTAAGTAAATAAAGGTGCTTAATGATAAGTTTTAGTTTTGAGAATTTTGCAATTATCTAATTTCAATTTTTATATTTATGGACTATAATTGAAATGATTAGAACTTCCAGTTATTGGACGATGAGTTTATGCTCCACTTTTATATTTGTAATCTAATTCAATATTCTAATCTTCAATTAATAATTTTGAGATGAAATTATTATTATTTTATTTTATTTATGATTATTATGTTTTAAGTATTGATTATGTATTATTTTGAATAAAATTTTATTGAATAGATGTTGAATTTGATTTAATAGAATCTTTGTTAATTCTTAATTTAGATCTATTTTTTAATGATTCACTTATTTTTTAATCAATTTTAGTAAAGTTTTCCTCAGTATGTAAATTAGTTTTCGAATATTTTTAATCAATTGTAGATTGAGTTGAAGGATAATCAAAATTTTGTGTTTTTATGAAATATTAAATATCTGTTTATTTTTATTATTAATTTGGTATTTTTTGTTTAATGATAGAATGTATAAGTTTTTCTTAAGGTTGACTAAGTTTTGTAAATTATTTATGATTCTTAGATAATTATTATTTTGATTATTAATACATAAAATTTAAGAAATGATTTAATTTCATTTCTTCATTCTATGTGTTGTTAGGGATAAAGAGAGATGATTGATCAGGATAATTGGCCATTTGTTTACAAATATCATTAAGAGTTTAAGAAACATCAAATTTAATTCTAGTAGGTTTATCAATTTACTTAATATATATGAATTTAAAATTACTTATTGTAGTTAATCGAGGCAATTAAGTTCTTTCAGTATTTATATATTTTTGATATTCGATTCATGTAAGTCTTAATTATCATTGGCCTAAGTTAATTGTGAATTAAGAGGCGAAGGTTTTTCACCAATTATACCTTTAGGTGGTCTCTAAGGGTTGTTTTTATTCTCTTGATCAATAATCTTGGCTATTCTATAATATTCAATCTTTCGTTTCTTATCAAAGTATTTATTTAAAATTGTTGAGACTGGTTCTTGAAAAATTCTTGCAATATCATGATGAAACTACATTTATGATACAATATTACTTTATAATATTCAGTGAGGAGTTATATTTTAGTAGGATATTCAGATAGATGATAGAAACGTTTAAAGTATTCATCCTTAGTGAATAATAAATATGTAATACTTATTCATCATAACAATTCCAATCCTTAAATCTGACAGTTGACTTAGTAGTTGCTTCATTGAGTATTTCATTAATATCTCTAGTGAAATAATAGTTTTAAGATTGGCAATATTTATCAAAGAGTTTGGAGTTAATGGATTTGGTATGATTGGGTATGATCATAATAATTAATAAATAATATGAAAAAATAAAGTGAAGAGATTGTTAATGAAATTCGAAAAAGACAACCTGATAAACCTTTGTCTTTAACAGAGTTAGCAATGATCAGAGAGATCTAATATATGTATTTGAAGAAAGAGAAAAGTGTTTTGGATCTGATAATATAATATTGTTGTGATTGTAATGGATTTTAAAAGAATGTTTAGAACGATTCTAAATAAGAGTTTGTGAGAAGGCATTTTTGATGACAACAATAGTTCCATTGTTACAATTTGAAAATCCAGTAGAGATAATAAAGAGTGGAACAATAATAATTGCTTGTTTAAGTGAGAATTAGGAAACTCATAAAAGGATAATAAAAAGTGAGAGTCTTAAAAGTCTTGCAGCTTTGATAGTGAAATAATTACATCATGAGATCACTAAATATGCACTATAAACAATTGCTAATTTAGCTAAAGTGTCTGCTAATTTTGGAAAGATTTTGGAATAGAACTTTCTAGATTAGACAGTATCAGTATTATTGTAAGTATTACCTAATCAATCTTAATTGTATGTTTTATAAATCATATATGAAATGACTTATTAATAACATTCAAATCTAGATTAAATGTGCAAGATGATGTTAAAGAAAAGATTCATTAAAAAAGTAATGCGTTGTATTGTTTCTGCTGATATTGATGTAGCAACATAAGCTATTCTTATAATTAAGTACATATTAAATATATTAAACTAGTCAATTGATTATAAATAATAAGAATTTAAAAAGATTACTCAAATTGAAATTACCTCCTAAATTACTTTTAACATATAAATTATTTTATGGACATGAAAATTCTATAAAAATAACCAAGTAATTTATATATTTATTATGAATTTAGAGCTATTATGTAAACATTGGAGAATCTTTTAAAAATTAAAGCTTTTTAATAATAATTAGTAATGGATAGTTATTTTACTTTATGTCTTCATATGTTTGATACTAATGTTTATGAACTCAATTACTATGGTATTTCTTGTTTAGCATATATGAGTGAATTGGTTGAATCTCATGATAAGTTAGTAGAGAAGAAGATTCTTGAATTAATGTATTAAATCTTAAAGGATTGCAAAGATTAGAAAATTAAATAATAGGCATTCAAAATAATATCATGTATCTCTTTGAATCCAAAATATCTATAAAGCTTAATTAATATGGGTATGATAGATTTATTAGTTAATTCATTAAACTCTGATGAAAAAGCTTGTAAGATCTATAGTATACTTTCACTTAGTAATTTATCCTGTTCTTAAAATTTTCATAAATACATTGGGAATATTAATATCAAATTATTAATTCACATATTAGAATTATCTGATCCATCTAATCATGCAGTCTTAAGAGCTGCTGCAAATACTTTAGCTAATATATCTATTGATCATACTTATTAATAGAATTTCCTTAAAGATCCAGAAAAAACTATTATTCTAAAATTACTCTATTCTGCTACAGATATTATTTTAATCAAATCAATTATTATTATTTTTACTAATATAAGTACAAATAGCAATCTAATAACTGATTTAGCTTAACCTGATATATTGAATTGCCTATTTCTATTATATTAAAAAGATTATGAAGAATTAAGAGGGTATTTATCTCGTTGTTTGAGTGCATTATCAGTTGTTCCTGATTGTAAAAAGTTAATATTGCAAAAGGGTTTCATGAAATCATTAGTTAATTCTATTTATAAATCTAATAGAGAAACTAAAAGAATGATACTTTTATCTATAATGATGATGTTATCAATAAATGAAGAATTTTAAAAATAATTTATTAATGAATAAGGAACTGAATGTTTATTATATTTGATGTCATAGAGTGATAATTTTCATGCATATATAGCTGCTAAAAGTTTTGTTTTAATAAGTAGAATGGAATCATCATTATCATAAGTAGCTAGAAAATCTATTTGTAAAAGTGTTGCAAACTTTTCTAGAACAAGAGAAAGAAGAATCCTGAAAGAAGGTCTTAGATTTTTTGTTAATATTATTATACATAAACGCCCTAAAGATTTTATTATAAAAGATTTATGTCTTTTAGCTCATGAAGTATTGAAAGGTGATGAATAAGATGCTTAATAATTAGGAATGTTTGCTTTTATGTTGTTATCAGAATAATAGATTTATCATGAAACTGTTATGGCTGAAGATAATTTACTTTAAACTATTGCCAATAAAGTTATAAAAAGTAATAATACAAATGAATTGAAACCTTAAAATGCTACATTCTTAAGCATAGCTATTATGAATTTGTCATTAAATTTAAATAATCTTGAGAAACTTCTTAATTTCAAATTTATTAAAGTGATGAGAGATCTTTGTGTTATCTTAACAAATTATAAAGAGAAAGATCCTGAATTTGATTTTCATACTTATCTTTTTACTTTTATTAGATAATTATTAAAGATTCCTAATTTATAAGAAAAACTTCCAGAAATCTTTAAATAAGGAGCTACTCAAATTATTTAAGAATTAATTGTCTATGATAAGAGTTATTTCTTTAGAAGTTTATTAGAAAGTATAAATATTTTAATCTCAATGTCTGATAAATATCCATCCGACATTCTAAATGTTATTGTTCAATTAGCAGATCCTGATTATGAAATGGAAGATGAAGAGTCATTACCTTTAAGAGTTTATGTCTTAAATAGAATGTCTTATAATCCTCATTCATTAGAGTATTTCAAACAATCTAAAATTGTACCATTTTTAAGTGAAAAGATGTCATAAGATTTAGCATTCTTAAATATTTCATAATATTTTTGTTCTTTATTAGCAAATATTTCTAAAGAAAATGAAATACTAAATTAAATTTTTGATGCTCAAATACTAACATCTATTTTTAAATTACGTTAATAGAAACATAATATTAAATTGACTGACATTATTCGTTTATTAGCACATCTAAGTTCACATCCCTCATTTAGACCATAAATATTTAGTGAAGAAATCTATGCTAATATTTTCGATCATCTTTAATCAGTAACCTTTTCAGAAAAATAAGATCCTTAAATATGTTATCCAGTACTCATTTGTATCCTTAATATGACTAAATCTGATTATGGATTAATCAAAGCTATTGCTAGAAGTGATATATTCAATTTTGTTAAAGTTTATATTAAAGATTAAAAAGGACCACAACATATTACTATATTATGCTTTCTCACTATTTCTAATATGCTTATAGATCCTGAAATCCTCAAAAAAGAAAAAGATATCCCTTATCTAGTTAATTAATTAAGATTGTAAATTTAAGAAAATGAAGATTAACTTGATCCAGCTTAACCTGATTATGTTGTTGTATCATTTCTTAAAGTCATGCATAATATGGTATTATAACATTATCCTGAAATTGAAGATAATATTACTATGATAGAATGTTTGTAAGATATCTAAAAGATGTTTATTAAATTTACTTCATAAGAAATTTTAGGATTAATGTTATCAATCTTTTGTGTTATGGTTGAATCATAGAAAACTTTATAAACATTTAAGGCTAATTACCCAGTTATGATTAAAATTTTTGATCTTTTGCATCACAATTATGAAAAATTAGAATAACAAGAATAAAGATTCAGATCATCATTATTATTATTATTAGCTAATCTAGCATATCATGAACATTCCTTCGATTTTTTTGAAACCTTCTTAAATATAGAGGATTTTATGATCAAATATAGAACTGCATATCTTAATCTATCTTAAGCATCAGATAGAGAACTTTTATTGACAATCTTAGTTAATTTGACTTATATCAAAGAAATTCAATTAATTATGCCCAAATATGAAAAAACACTATAATTAATTAAAGAGATATTTTTATCAGAACATGATGAATCTACAACAAAAAGAATTGTTTAATTATTGGCTAATTTATCTTTAAATTAAGATTTACATACATGGATTGCAAGTTAAGATATTCTAAAGAGATTACATAAACTATTCTTTGAAAGTGGTACATCTAAAGTATTAAAAGAATAAATATAAATATTATTAGCTAATACAACTTTCACTGAAGAAGTTCATGAAGTACTTATTAATAATGAAGCCATTAGAATATTTGAATAAATTGTAAATAAAAAAGAATCTATTCAATAAGATACTTCACATTAATAAGTTGTTTCTCTTGTTAATTTGGGACTCAATCCCAGAACATATGCATTGATTGAGAATCAATTAAATATGGTTAATAATCTCTCTCTTTTAGATGAATGCGAGAAACCCTTATAAATTAGATTATTAAAATCATCATTAGAATATGTAATTGATAATTCAAGTTAAAATTTATCTAATAAGAGGGAAATTTTATAATAGATTATAGCCAATATAAATTTCTTACTTGAAAGTAAGTCGAAGTTTTTAGTTTGTAAAATTGATCCATTATGGTAGATGATTTTATCAACTGAATTAATTAATACAGTTAGATTTGATAGAGAAAGATTGATTGGAAATTTTATCACAATTATCATATTCTTTGATATGTTGGAAGTTAAATGTAATTATTATAGTCATCTTTGTGAATTGGCTGATAGAATTCCACACATTTTAGATTTCTAATCTATGTAAATGCATATAGAAAGTTTATTTATTTTTAATTAGAATTCTTTGAATAATTTAAAAGAGTTAATGTAATAAGTTAAATAAAAATAATAAGTTGAACCACTCCTAATATCTAAATATGAATAATTAGTAAATTAATTTCTTAGATTATTATCAAATGTTGCATTTGCATAAAAAACATAAATTGGTTTATAATAATTCATGTAAAAGAAAGAAGTAGAAGATCATCTTTTAGAAATATGCTAATTCTCTCATTCTTAAGCTCCAAATCTTATTTTATAATCTCTTGCTACCTATGCAAATATATTTTAAATTGATAGTAGGAATTATTAATAAGTTTTTGAAATCATTGCTAAAAATTACAAATAATAAATTAAATAATATCCTCTATATTAAACTTTTTTAATTGGAGTCATTGTAGGAGTAATGAAAAATAGAAAGTATTTATTATTTGAAGATGGAAAATAAGATATTGGTGATTTGAATGATTCAATATAATCATATTAAAAGAATGCTCTCTATTCAATTTAATAATAATAAACTAATAATTTCTTTTAAAAAAGAGTATCTTCATAATAAACATTTATTAGTATACGTTCTTAAGATAGTGAATATCCTGTTAATAAAGATATGAGTTTAATAATATCAGTTCTATTATATGTATTAAAAAAAGGCCATCCACCAACCTATTAATCAGCTCCACCATTATTATTATAATGTTTAACAAATATTGCATATCATTAAGAAAATTTTAAGTTCCTTTTTTCAACTAAATTACCTGAATATTTATTTACTTACATAAGTTAAAAAGAAAATATCTAAGCAGATGGCTATGTTCATGCTTTAACTGCCTTTATTAATATTAGTACAAATAAAGAGTTTTTCTTACGGATATAAGCTGAAGAGGTATATAAATATGTAGTCAAATTAAATTAAGTTTCAAAACCATTAGTTATTTAGTATAGTAGCAGTATATTTATGTAGATGTTTGAATATAGTACTGAAAATGATGAAAATCAACATCTTGTAGAATTTACTTTAGATTTTATGGTTAATGAAGTCTTATCCTATGTTACATTTGAATCTGATCATATGGATTTATTTCTGGCCTTTCTTGAAAGACTTCTTAAAATTTAAAAATTAAAATATGTAAATTAAATTATTAACACTTTTAGAAAATTGCTAAAATAGAATCCTTGTTTTAAAAGTTTTAGAAAACATTAGAAACTTAAGATTTAACTAATGACAAAAAATTTGATAAATATTGGAGAATATGGAATATTTATAATTTCTTAATTACTTCTAAAGAATGTCTTAATTATCTAGTTAAATATGGATACTTTTCTTTGCTTAAATCAAAATTAGGTTATTTTACTTCTTCTTAATTTGATTAATGTTTAAGTTACAATACTTAAGCAGAATATTAAGAAAAACATAAGAATGTCTTAAAATAGTTCTAATTATTTTCCATTGTCTTATCTAGTATTGAGAAAATATTCAAAAATGATGTTAATTTAAAACTATAACCTCCAATATAGAAATTAATCTATTCACAAAGAAATGAGAAAGTATCAACTGATATTATTAGAATAAATGACAATGAAGCTTTAAAGATTTCATTTTATGTACCTTTTATGATAATTGAAAAAATCTTACTCTCAGAAGAAACTTACTAAAATTAAAATAATATTTTAATTGTTGTTGAAGTTTTAAATTAAATAGCTTTAATCTTAACTAGAATGGATTCTAATGGTGATATGACATTAAAATTCCTTATTGAAATATTAAAAAGAACACTTAAAATTTAAGTAGAGGATAAAACTCTTTTTTATAGTAATGTTGTTAATATCTCAATCAAATTATTTGAAAAATTTGGTGTTGATATTTCTGGGCCTATTGAGGAAATTCTAGTTTTATTTATATAACATTGGTATGGTTCAGAATTTAGATTCATGAATTCAGAAATTTATTAAAACTTTTTAAGATTATGCGTACTCTTTAAATTTAAAGATTGCCAACAGGATAAACCTTGTAATTTAGCGAATAGTGTTTTATAAATTATGAATATTAACCAGACAACTTTTAGAGAACATGAAACTTAATTGCTTTTTTAAATGTTCTTAAAGAAACTGATTGCTGAAGTTGATCCTTCAGAATCCTAAGAATTAGAAGAAACTATATCAGAATCTATTGATTTTTTACTTGATTATATTTAGAAATAATCAGCTAACATAAAAGCATAATTAGAAATGGGAGATAAAAGTGTTACTGAATATTAGAAGACACTTTAACAATAAAATTTTACTATGTCAATAGAAATTTTAACTATTCTAGTTTCATTTGCCTCTTTTTAAGAAAAAATCTTAGATCTTGAATTGCTAAGTTCCACAGTATAATGTGGATTGTTGATTTAAGAGTTGTTAAACTTTTTTGAAAACAAAGAACAATAATCAGAAGATTTGAAAACAGCTATTAATCAATTATAGAGCTTTTTAAAACATATTAGTATATTTTTAAGTTATACATCCTTTTTGATTAAATTTCATGATGAATTATAAAGTTAACCATGTATTTAATTTATATTTGAAAATATGTTAAAAAGAAAAAAATAAACTAAAATCTTTTGCTTTAATATTATTGTAAATTTGATTGAATCATAAGGACCTAATTTTATATTTGAAGTCTTACAAAGTATAGAAGAATAAGTTGATAAAATAAATGCTAATAATTCATTATAAAAGTACTCTTTAGATGCAATAGTCAGTTTAACAGAAGAAATTTATTAAAAAATTCAACATTATAAAACAATAGCTCCTAATGAAGAGGCATTTTATTAATTGTCAGATGATATTGGATTATTGTTAACTAAAATACTTATCGGAAAGAAGCATTCATTTTCATTGAATGGGTCTGCTGAAATATTAATGAATAGTAAACTATAATAAGTTCAAATAAGAACACTATTTCTTATGATTAAAAAATTCATTAACTGTGATAATGATATTACAATTAGAGATAAGAGCATTCAATTATCTTTCGATATTAGTAAATAGATTTATGGAACTTTATCATAAATGGAATAAGTAGATTGCAATAATGAGACAATTTAAAATTAATAATTATAAAGTAAATTCATCAATATAAAATATACTTGGGATTAAGTGAGAAAAAATCAAACTTATTAACACTTAGAGGATATGTTCTTTTGGGAATAATTAGAATTAAGTGATTACCAATTTAAACTAATTTTTTTAATCATTTGTTTCGAAAATATTACATGTAGATTCAGGGGTGAATAAAACAATAATAAATTAGCATTACCTAATTCTGCAGTAATGGTAAATGACATATTTTTACTTATTGATCCTAATTTAGATACCTTTCTGGAGAATTATAACTTATAAAATTAATTGAACTTTTTATTAGTTTATTATGCTGCTTCTATTAGTTATAGTTCTTTAGGAAATAGAACAAGAAAAATAGAATTTTAATAGCTAGCTGAAAGGGATATGTCATTTCGAATCAGATTAAATACATTTGTTAGAGTGCTAAGTGATAGTAAAATCAATATTCTTGCAAATTTCGCTGATTTAATTAGAGGTCCAATTTAGAATTTATGATTATGATAAAATAATTAATAAAATATGTACTGCTTATTTCTCATTGAATATTTCAAGCGTAGATCAAGAGATTTAATTGAATTTATGAATGAAAGCTAAACAGAAACAAATGGCACTATAATCATGATCATTTTTTCATTTCAGAGAATAAGTTTATTATTTGAATTTGATAAATTTGCTGAAAAGCCATATATAGATTTTAAATTGCAAATATTGGAACAATTATTTAATTGGTTTACTCTATCAACTCCAATTAAGCTAATTGAAAGTTCAAGTCTAAATAAAATATTATCATACATAATTTGTATATATTTGTGGTTGATCATCACAATAATATTTACAAAGTTAAAATTGAAATATTCGATAAGTAGCTTTTTAACTTATTATTAATTATTGGTATTTGTGCCAATAATTAGACACATAGATTATTAATTATAAAGAGATGAGGATTTAATTATTAGTATCATCAATTATTTTGGTATAATAATATGCTATATACTTTATTTCTTAGTTAATAGGAATTATTTTTTGCCTCAGAAAAATGAATTTTTAAGAAGATATTCTTATTTTAATTTTGTCCTAATAATTATTGATATTGTGTTAATGATTGTAAAGTCAATAGTAAGTGAATTTATTTCATCAATCTTAATGGTAATGTTGAATTTCCTATTTCTGATCGATTCTTTTATAATTCAACCTTATAATAACTAAATTAATTCAAAATATGTGGGTGGGACTTCATTAATGTTTTTTGTATCTCTTGTAAAATTACTCTCATTTGAAATTTCATAGACTGAGGTATTTTATTTTATATTACTACTTACGCCTTTTTCAGCGTTGATAATTTTATAAATGTATAAATAATAGATAAGTAAACAAGTATATAATTCACCTATCAACTAAGAAAAGATGCTTACAATAATTGATATTTTGAGTTCTACTAAAACAAATTCAATTTTCTTGTATTCTATATTATGGAACATAAAGTAGAAATGTGGTATTTGGATTGAAAATGAGAGTTTGTTTTAAAAAATATAGTAAACTATATTGAATCTCATGAATTTAGTTATTGAATAAATAAAAACTAAGGATTGGGTGGTGATGGAGAATCTATAATTATATAAAATAATGTATATAATTAATGCATGTAAGAAAACATAATTGGGTTATATAGAATTAAAAAATTATATGACAAATTCATAGAAGTAATCTTTTTATTTTTCAATTATTTCAAATATATTATAAAATAAGATGGCAGAGAAAAAAAAATCAATTTAGACTGGAGATCAAGAGAAGAAATTGTAATTATCAGACATTCGTAAGGCTGAATTATTATATGAAGATAATTTAAGTTTGATGATTTCAATATTAGATACAAAAATTAAATTTTGGATTGAATTAGATAAAGGATACTAAAGAATTGAAGATTTTGCTTTATGTACATATAATTTAAGTTAAAAGATATGGTAATTGAGAGATACATTCTTTTCTTGGTTTTCTATTTAACCAATGAAATTATAAACTAGATTAACACACTTCAATATAATAGAATTAAAATTATTAGGAATTTTATATTCAGCCATATTAAATGATTATCATGCAACTTTGGATATAGAATAACGTATAGATGAAATTATGTAATTTGAAAGAAATGTATAAACTGAAAATGTAAATAATTTAACACTTTTTAATGATGAATTAGTAATGATTGCTACAAGTTTTGCTAAATAAAAAAGTTTAATCTTAAATAGAAATAGAGGGTAATTGGCATAATTCTTTGGATATAAAGATGAGAAAGATTTTTAGAATATACTCTATATTGAACAATTAATGCCACCTTATATCTAATAGATTCATGATAAGATTATTCAAAGATATATGAAAAAAGGATATTCATTATTAATTGAACATTCTAAAGAAGTTTATGTAAAAATGAAAAATAACTTTATTAAAGCAGCTAATATTAGTTTACTTCACATGTTTGAAAATGATGCAGATTATATCATTACAGGTGCTTTATAAAAAGTTAAATAAAGTTATGATTTTCTGATTTTCGATCGTCGTGGTAAGATCTTAGGCATAAGTGAACAACTTTTCGATATTCTAGGTAAAGGATTTACTTTAGAATAATTATTAAGTAAGGGATTTGTATATTTTTGGTTCTAAAGTATTTTTGAACTAATTAATTAAGAAAAGGAACTTCTATTATAGTAATCTGAATTATAAGCAAGAGGAATTCCGAAAACATAAATAATATGTCCTATAAATAATTTTAATTAATTATGTATAGATCATGATTTCAGTAGAGCTAACAGCACTGTGAAACTTCATGAATCTTAAAATTATTACACTGAAGTAAATGAAACTGAACAATAAAATTATTTATCATATGGTAATAACATCAATTCAATACATTTTTTAAAAGAATAAAATATATCATTTATTAATGATTTTTTGTAAAAATTCAATTAAAGTAAATATATTGATTAAGATACTCAATATTCTATTAAATTTTAATTAGCATTTAATGTTTTAGGTGGTGATATCCTTTCACAATTTATATTGTAAATTAATGATATTGAAAAACTTAGTAAAAAAAAATCTTTTAATAATCCTTCAGCCAGTTATTATAGTACAATTAAAAAAACACTTTCTAATGATCCTTTTAATGAATCTGATTTTAAATTAGATTAAGAGGGAATTGAAAATGCAATAAGTTTTAATCCTCCAATAATTAATAAGATTAATTAAGTTCCAAATCAAGATATAGATGAAAGTTAAAAAAAATAATCATATCTATATGAAAGTCAATAATAATAATAATTAGTTTCACCAAGAGGAAATAAAGATATCCTTATTAATGTAGAATATGATGAAGACGAAGATGAAGATTAAAAATAAGCATACGAACTTGCTAAAAGTAGCTCTTAATAAAATTAAAATAAATAGAATGTTGAAGAAGTTATATAACAATATAAAGAATTTGAATAAGAGTTTAAAGATAATGCAAAGTAATCATAATCTAGTGCTACTTCTGACAGAACTTAAATGTCCGTATTCAATATACTTAGAAATCTATAATACACTTAAAGATATTAAACTACTCTTATTAAAGTGTTTTTGAATACAACTTTTCTCTTTCTTGTATTACTTTTTTTAGTTATTCTTGAATTAATTATTGCAAGGGGAAACACAAATAATTTGTAATATTAAATTCCTCTTGTCAGATTACCTGATAGGTTTAATAGATTATATTGTACTTTTACAGTTTTAGGATAATTAGATTTAGAAATGAGATTACTTGAATTTAATCATGGAGATTATTATGTCTATCGTATTTAATAAGAAAGCAAATAAATAAGAATTGAATTATTACAATTAATTGTTGAAATAGAAAAAGAATTTTCAGTTTTAGAATAATAAGGAAAATTAAATAAAGCTGAAATATAAATTGTCAATCAATATATTTATTCAGCCTACAATATTTCCTTTTTGTAATTTAATTAAATGGTTAATGAATATACTCAAGCATTAGATAATCTATTTGAAGAAAATGATGAACTCTCTTTGATTAATGAATAGATAAGATTACTATTCATGAAAGCTAATCTCAATAATTTAATTGATTTTGTAAGCAATGTTGTAGAGAATATTGTTAGTGAATTTTTTGCAAATATTGATAATTATGAATTTCTCTATCTTATTTTTCTATTTGCTTAACTTCTCATTATTATTATTGCTATATTACTTTAATTTAAATTATGGACAGAACCTTATATTTATAAATAAAATATCCTACTTATGATATGTAGAGTACAAGAAAAAGATGTGGAATTATTATTATTAAAATATAAGTCTTTTAAAGATATTTTAATAAATGACATAAGTAAATGGAAATAAATAAATTATTTTAAAGAGTTCTTTACTTGTAGAATATCCTAATTAAGAAAAATATAAAAATTAACACATTAACATTAAATAGAAAAAAAACAATAAAAATCATAATAGAGAGCCAAATTGAATTAAAGAATTTAAGAGACTCAATATTCTATAGTCCATATATATTTAATGTTATTTTTTTTATGGTTTATTTTAACCTCATTTGTTTTATCATCATATCTTTTTTAAGATATAAATATAACAGATTCATTTCCCGAATTAGATTTATGTATGAGATTTGTAAGATTTAAATAAAGATTTGATAGTTGTATGATTATTAGTTAATTGATAAAAAATTAAAATTTATTAAGTAATCTTTAGAAAAAAAGTGGGATTTATCTTTAAAATCCAGAATATAATAAAACAGATGGATTTTTTTAGAGGAATAATAAAATTTTATTAGCATAGTTTAAAATGAGTTTAGAATTATAGAAGGAATAATATAATTCTATATATGATAATATAGTTGCATCTGCTAAGATAAGTGATTAAAATAAAAATTTATTGTTAGGATTGTATTAAGATGATCTTTGTGATTATATTGGAGATAAATTACCTTTTTGTAATTATATGAATGGGAAATTTCAAAATTTTCCAGATTTTCCATAGCCCCTTGAGATCAATAATAATAGAGAACGTTTGAAATAAGGTTTTAATGGATTATATTAAGAGTAAAATTAAGTTTAAATATTATAGAATTCAGGCGCTTTTTTCAAGTAAATTTGTGAAAGAGTTGAATGGAGAATTAGAAAGTGATGCTGATGAAATTATAAATTTTTTGCAATCGGCTGAAAATTTTTAACTATTGATGCCATATTTTTTTGACCTTAATAAAGCAATAGTAGAATTTTATTCAACTATAATATCTACATCTGTAGATATTTTAGAAAAAGATTATTAAAGTTATTTAATTTATTATGTGATATTTGGAATAGTAGCTTCAGGTATATTATTTTCTGTGGTAATTTTGGCAACCAGAAAATTATAAAGATAAATTAGAGCAATAAGATAAGCATTGGTATTGTTACCTCATGAAAGTTTATTAGATGTATAGGTTTATAATGCAATCAAAAGATTTGAATAAAAGATGTGATAAATCATTTAAAAATTAAATACTAATATTTTGAACTAGAATATTCAAATTTTTTGTAAGTAAAATGTTTCAAGTTCTTGTTCCATTTCTATAAAATTATTGATATGTTATGTTTCTTCATCTTCAAAATCATTTTCATCAAATAAATAGGGATTAAATTAATCATCTTACAAAATTGGAGGTATCAAAGCAATTTATCTATTTTTTTGAAATAATTTTTCATTTCTTTCTTTTTACATTTTCTTATGAAAATCTTCAACTTTCTTAATAATTAATGGAAATAGAATACCATTTAAAGTAATATTTTAGTCTCATCTTATAATTTCTTTTCAGTGGGTATCTCTTCAATTAAAGAATTTGAGTTTAGATTTAATAATTACATAAAATTAAATAATAATAAACAGAAATAAGATAAATATTACACAAATGGTTCAAATCATTAATTATACCAATTTAATAATCGAAATCTAAGTATAAGTAAAGAAATACTATTTATGAGTTTAATTGAGTTTAATATTTTTTTGTTATAAACTTTTATCTCCGAGATATTCATTAAGTTATAAGCTAATTAAATCTGTTTCAATATCTACAAATATATTTGAATTTTTCATAGATGATGATGAATAAAATGGATTAATAGAAATGCATTATTGACTACCTATATTAAATAAATAAATAAATAAAACAATACCATTATAGGAAGCTAGAGTAGTTTTTTTATTCTCATCCTTTCCATTAATATTGTTTCTACTTGAAATTTGAGGAGGTGGAGCTTATAATAGATTAGAACTGAAATTATAAATAAAAATAAATTTATTTACTTTTATTGATTTAAAATACCTGAGATTTATTTTTCAATAGATTTTTTCATTTCTATACTATTATGAGGAATTAAAGATTCAGAATGAGTAGTTTGTCTAATTTCACTCCAATCATAGAATCCATCAAGATTTAATTTTAATGATTCTGCTCTTTTTTAAGTTCAAAAATAATCATTTTATAATTAGGTTGACTCTAAAACTCTAATTTACGTATGTAACTATGTATAATTGTATTTAGAATACTCAAATATTTTTTGAAATTCTTTTGGTTAATCTCTAAACATTTCATTTTATAATAGTAATTTAATTTCACCTACTTTTTTAGTTCTCTAACCTTCATTAACGTTTTATATATTTTGCCAAGGTAGCTATCTTGATAAAAATTATAATTTTACCCTCTAATAAAGTATAAAATGATATACATCATAGATTCTAAATCATCTTTTCTACTTAATTCATGACCAAGATGAGCAGCAATAGAAGCATATCTTGTAGTTCCTAAAAATGATTTATTTTCTCTAAAAGGACTAGAATAATATAATAATATATATTATTACATATGTTTATTATTGAAATCCTTATATATTTTACTGATTCCAAAATCAAGTAAATAAATTTTACCATTATCTTTACCTTAACCTAATATAATATTCTCTGGTTTAAGATCTCTATGAATAACACCTTGAAAATGTAATTGTTCTAAAACATCAATTAATTGTATTGCAATTAGTAATACAGTCTTCAGTGTAAAGTGTTTCAACTGTTTAAAATGATAAGCTAAATCATTTCCTAACATTTGCATAACTAATATATTATAACCATGTTCTTTTCCTGACCATATAAATTTAGGTATTCCTTCCATTTAACCAAGATGTTTAAAAATTTATACTTCTCTTTCAAATGATCTAACATCTTCATTCTCTTCTTTTTCTACTTTTATGGCTACTTCTTATTTTGTATTCTAATCTAAACCTACAAACACAATTCCAAAAGAACCAGCAGATAGTTTCCTTTGAACAATGAATTAATTGTTACAGATTCTATTCTAAAGTAACATAATATTTTATAATGATTTCTAATTAAGAACCGTAATAAATCAAGGTTGTTGTAATTGGTGATAGTAGTGTTGGCAAGACTTCAATACTTTTAACGTAAATTTATATAATAAACTTAGTTATACATAAGATAGATTTCCAATTGATTATGTACCTACTGTCTTTGAAAATTATTCAAATGTTATAAGTGTAGACAATACCTAAGTTTAATTAACCTTGTGGTATTAAATCAAATATCTAGGGATACAGCAGGTTAAGAATCTTATGAAAGATTAAGAATGATAAGTTATTAAGCAGCAAATGCATTTGTTATTGTCTTTTCTGTAATAGACTTATAAAGTTTTGAAAATATTTGGATTAAATGGTTACCAGAATTATAAAAAGCAGGCAAAGATCGTTTACCTAAGATTATTATCGGTAATAAATGTGATAAACTTAATGATTCTTTAAAATTCTAAGTGTTTTGGGAAAAATGTGAATTAGAAAATATAAGATTTATTGAATGTAGTGCCTTCCAAAATAAAAACATTAAAAATGTCTTTGAAGAAATTGTTAGTATAACTATTAGAGAACAAATGCTTCAAACTGTTCTAAGATCTAAAAGAAGATAAGAAACTATTTAAAAATAATAGAAATCATTCTGTCAATTACTATGAGGAATTATTTCCTATTTAATAACTTATTAATATTATTATGAATACTTTAAGTTCAAATCCTAAAAAAACTATGTTTTATGCTGCTGCCTAAAGTATTATAATTTCTTCATATTTTAGACATGTTAAATCAGCATTCCTCTTACTCTTCTGTTTAAATTCTATAACGAAGCTTATTATAATTACACTAACTTCCAACAATTAATAATCAAAGACATTAATTGAGTTAATCATTAAATAATTATTCAGATAGAGTTTAATACAATCTATCTCTTCCTTAAAATACCAATATAGTTTTATAAGATAGAGATAGATCTCTCTCTTAAAAAACTAATAACTCTATTAATCTAAATATATCACTTGAAAGATTATAGAATACTTAAAATATTAAGTCTAATTTCTTAATTCCAAATCAAAACTCAAACTTGAATTACGATAAAGAAATTTAAAAATAACAGTATTGTTAAATCATAATAAAGATTAAAAGCATATTTATTAAAATAAATATAAGAAAAATAAATATCATATTAACAAGAATAAGAAAGAATCAAAATTGAAGATCGTATAGCTGAAGAATTAGTTAAAAGATAATTAGAAGAAATTAGAATCAAATAAAAGTCTAAATTAGATATTTCTAAAAAAGGTAGTTTTTGGTTGATATATTATTATATAAGAAAAATCTGCAATTATCCAAAAAATACAGAAATGTATCAAAACTTTCTCTTTCACCACATCAAGATGGACTATTCATGTAAATATAAAAATCTAAATTTATTCACAATAATCAATAAAATGATCTACTTTAAAAATTAAGTAATATTCAAGTAACTATCCCTTTAATTCTATAGAATAATATCAATAATCTATAACAATCATAATCCAAACAAAATCATGCATCATCTGTCAGAAAAAACATCAAATAAATGATTCGAAAAACATGTTAATTACTTCCGGCACATAATGAATTAATCTATGAAAATATTCATAATTAATTTAATGATAAAAAATTAGAATGTGAAACTATATTTATACCAGTCAATTCAAAATTAAACACTAGTATTTATACTTCTTAATCATAACCTCCATTCTAAATTTAATAGGATATAAATAAATCAACTCATAATTTCAATTAAAATAATAGTTTTTAATTACCATAACACAATAATTCTATGATTAGTAATCCTATTAATAATGCATAAAATTACTCATCTTAAATTAATAATATCAATCGTATAAATAATCATTATAGATTAACAATACACCAATAAACTTCAAAAGAGAGATCTATTTCAATATCGAATGAGAAAATGCTAATAAAGGTTGATGAAATTAAGGATGATATACAAGGATTAACATAAAAAATAAAAAAAGTATATAAACTGCCTTTAAACTTTTAGCCTATTCAAAATAATTTATAATTAAAATTACCACATAGAACAACTATGCTTATGTAGATAACTTCAAAAAAGTAGCTATTATGATATTCTTAGTTAAAATTAAGTATAAAAACAAGAAGAGCCAAAATCATCACAAAGAAATTGATCATAAATATTTAAATTCTTATGATTAATATATATATTTTGGATATTTTTGAAAAAGAATGAATAGATTCTTATTATATTCACTTTAAAATCATTTTTTTTTTAATTTTTGGTGTGCCATGATTTGAAGAACATATTTAACTAGGAGTTAAATGTCTTGATCTTATACTTCTCATTGAACTTTTAAGATCTTCAAAGATTTTCTAACTACTAGCCAAACTTGTTCTTCCTTTTACAAAAAAATTATTTTATTGTTGATTTGCAATCTTCTTTTTTGAATTACTATTATTGTAAGTCATTTTTGTAGAAAACATTTTTTTTGCCAACTCCAATAACAATTCATTCTATTAAGGAGTATTTCTAGCAGTTGTTAAACAAGATTTAGTCATTTCAATATTACCTAAAGAAGCTTATCTTGATTTTAACTAAGGTGGTTTCTTTATTGTTTTAATTGGAATTTCAATTTTAGATCTTTATTTCTAAGCAGATGTTTATCTAGATGTTTAGGCTGGTTTTGGTATTCGTTATGATAAAGGTGGAGATTTTAATTATTGAGCTTATCTAATTTACATTTCTATAGTTTTTGTAAGAGTTCCTTTATTATTTTAATATATTTATCTTTAAGCTTCAATTGTATTTTTTAATTATTTTTAAATTTATTTATTCTAATTAAATATTTAAAAAGGTTTTGGTTAAACTTTTGTATCTCCAATCATTTGAACTAAATCTCTAAGTATAGTTGTATTACTAATTTTTGAAATGTCAGTTTATGTAGATTCAATTTTGAGATCTCTCAATAAATATTTAAGTTAACTAACTGAACAATCTTCAGAAGTGTCCTTTACCTTTGATGGTGTTTATTATTTAATCTCTTCAAATAATCCTAATTCCATTTTAATTTTGCAATACTATATCTCTCTATTTTTTTCCATTCTTTTATTAATTACTTTGCAATGAAAGTTTCTTGGTATATTTATATGGAACTTATAATATTCTAAAAGAGCTGGTATTCTATCATCACTTTCAAAATATCTATAAAATCTTTTTCACTATAATAAATTTTAATTACCTTCTCATAAACTCTGTATGCTCATCCAATTAAACATAATCTTTATATCGAATAGTAGATTTTATCTATTTGTCATCCAAAATATCATTTATGTCTTTTTCATAATAAAAGTTTTATGATTAAGAGTATTTACAATAAAGTGCTCTTGTGAGAATTAAATGAAAGGATCCATCAGTGTTCAATTTATCACAGAACATGCACTTATTAACTTACATTTTATTTTTATTTCTTCAATATAAAATAAATTATATAATAATAATTTTTTTAATAATTGCATATTTAATTAAGGAACTATAAATCAACCTAATTCTGTTCCAAATAATTTTAATAATTAATTATTATTATATTGATATAAATAATAATAATCATGAATTTAGAGGAATACTTTCCTCTTATGCAAATATATCATTTTTATGTTGATTATTAAGTGATCCAGTGTTATTTAATTTCATTTTTTCATTAATTTCAGATTATTATTGAGGTGAAACTGTTTGTTATTTAATATTATTGTTCTTTTCTTCTATTTTCATTATTACTTATTCTGAATCAACTTTTTCATTCTCATTTAAAATTGCTTTAACTTATGAAACAAATTTAGTTTCGATTTCTTCTTTAATCATCTAAAATCTAAAACTAAATTTACTTTTATATATTCAAATTGAGTGATCAATTAATATATTTTTTCGAGAACTTCTTTTTATTTCTCAGAACTAACTATTTCATCAGAATAAAGAATAAAATAACATTCTATCAAAGATATTAATGATAAACATACTTTTTTCTTTATGATATTTTGCATAAAATTAGACACTTTCTCCTTTCAATTAAATTATTTCTAAAGGTTTTTTCTAATTATCCATTATCTATTTCTGTATTGCATTTCTATCATCTAACCATTTCTTTTAAATAGGAATCATTTTGTTGACCATCATAAAAAAATACTATCGAACATAATCAAACATCATAAATCCTTTAAAATTAATTTTTTGCTTTGGAACCCTTTCATCCATTTTAGATTTCATAATCATTTTATCAATTAATTCTATAGTTTTTTATTTTTGCTACTCATTTTTTTCTATTTCTAGAGTTAAATCCTTTCTAAATTTCTTATGTTATTTTGATTGTTAAGTCATAACTAATTCTAAGTTTCCATTTTTCTCAATATATTCCTATTCTGCTTTTATTAATAGATCCTCAATCTCTTATTTCAAATTCTTTTGAAATTCTTCTCTTGTTAGCTTTAATATTTATATTAAATTTTATACTTTGTTGTAATTGTTAACTTTTTTTATTTATTCAATGATGGCTGCTAGAACTTTTTGTTATTCCTCTTTTATTGTTTTTTAATTGCTTAACAATATAAAGTAGCATTCTAAATTTAATAACATAATTTACTTGTTGATTTTTCATATTAACAAAAGAAATTTCCAAAATCACTTTCCATCTCGAAAGTTTCTTATGGTTTTTTTTTCTCTTCTTATAGTTTTTTTTCTAATTCACTTCTTGTTTTAAACCATGAATCTGAAATATCAAAGCTTCTTCTAATAAAAAAGGCAAAATATTCTCTTCCATAATCATAACTTGTAAATCCTCTAAAAATTGACATTAAATTAATATGATTTAATTATGAACTTGTTACAGGGTTCTTTGCATTTTATAATAAACAACAATATGCAATTTAAAACTGTAGAATTGATTAATATATTTGAACTTTTTTATTAAGTTTTTGAAGTTATATTTTTAAATCAATTCATAGAACTTGAAAATACAGTAAAACTAATAAAAAAACTTTAGTATTTTTGACTGTCCATCATTTGAGTCTAATATCAATATATGATATAATAAGAGGATAAGAAGAAGAACTAAATAATTTGAAAATAATTTTAAGGTTAGAATTGATATTTTAATTGTATAATATTTGATATTATAATTTTTATAAGCGATTATATGATGAATATCAAATTAAGATTATGGATTTCATGTCTAAAATAATATAATTGATTAAAAAATAACGTTTTTTATTGTATTTTAAAGTTTAATAAAAATACAAAAAGAATAGAAAGAATGGTTTGAATTTGATAATATAAAGATTAACATAATTTATCATTTTAATAATTATATTATGCTAAATAAATCAATAAAAGTAACAAAAAAAGTAATTATCATAAATCAAAAGTATTATATTGTAATATTGATAAGAACTGAGACAATAAGTGAGAATACAAATATAATAAATAGAGAACCATTAAAAAATAGTTAAGAAGGGCAAAGGTTTGATTAAAAGAATTCAAATTAAACATAGATGCATAATGGATTTGATGAATGTAAAAAATGTGTTTTAAGGAAAGAAAACTATGATTTGAGACAATTACATGAGATGTTGAATATTTGTTAAAAAAACCATTAGAAAATGAAGGAGATTAAATCGATAGTGGATGTATTAAAAAATAGAACTAGTAAATTGGAATAGAAATTGAAATAGTAAGAAGGATAGAGTAAAGTGAAGAGAGTCAGAAGAACTTCAACTTAAATAGAAAAGAAATATAAAGTTTAAATTTGTAATTATAATTTAAAGTGTTATGTAAAGAATTGTGAGAAATATTATGGGTCAATGATATCATTGAATTTACATATGAGAATAAAACATAAAAGATAGAGAAATGTTTAGGAATAATAAAAATGATAAACTTTCCTTACTTATATATATATATATTGATTATTGTAACTCAATAGGTTTGACCATCGGGTGGTTATTGTAATTTTTTGTTAGCAGCAGAACTCATTTCATTTTTTAATCCTGTTAAGATGCTTTCTAGAGTATTTTTGGATACCCAATTTTTTAAAATGCCAAATTTATTAATATCAATCTGAATTAGTAAGTGATAGATACCTATCCATTTGCTAAAACGCATGGAAGATTAATTTTAGTGACAAATTTGACTTAGGGAGCAACCTTAGGATATTGTGGACCACAAGTGATTTTAAGTGAATAGATTCTATTCTCAAATGCAGTCTATGATATTAAATTAAATAATTACATTATAAGGACCAAGGATTGTTCCATTCCAATTAGTCATTTACATGTCTTCAGCTACCAATTTCAGATAATAATTTTACCATCTTCTAATCCATAACTTACAGTTCCATCTCCAATACCTTTTTCTCCATTTTAAAGTTCTTCAAGCAATCTAAATCTTCTTGGGACTTCTAAACATAATGTAAAAACGATATTAAATTACCTGGTGCTTACATTAGGATTTTATTTAAATAATTATTATATGATATTAATTAATATAACAAATTCATATATTAGATGTTGTAGATTCTATATTTCAATCATTCAAATGAAGAAGCAAAAAATAACTAAGAAATATTACTCTATTAAGGTTATTATTGTTATTCAATTGATTCAACAATATAATAACAATTATATTTACTATTATTAGAATTTATACATTAAAATATATTCAGTAATAATATTTATTAACACTGCTTAAATTATTTATGATATGGAGAATAAGAATAAAATGAAGAAGAATCAAAAAATAAAATCAAGTAAAGAAATAATCAAAAAAAGAAAGTTAGAAAATTATATGAATAAAGAGTAAGATTAATTTATTGAGAATTATTGAGAGTCTATTCTAATTATCGAAATGTCTTTTTTAAGTTCGGTTTATTTTAGTGTAAGCAAATAATTCAAAATAGATGTCTATAGATATTAATAAACCTCTTTAAGATTCAATGATTGTCTTTTGTTCTTAATTAAGATCTAATAGTATTTATTTAGACATTTCATCAATTCTATTGAGATATTATTATATTAAGATTCTTATATATTAAATGGCAATATAGATTTTCTTAATTTTGAAATTTAAAAATAGATTTTATTCAATATTTTTTTTAGATTTAAGTATAACATTAACATTATTTGATATATGTAATTATGTATTTCATTAATTGGTATAAGATTTTGATAATTCATAATTAAGGAACTCAATCTAAAATTAAGATAACTTTTAAAGTCTTAGTTATTAAGTCGAATGATGATAGAGACAGATTGAGATATAGTTTGAATTCATAGTTTATGATATTATAAATAATATAAACTAATTATTAGATGAACTATTGCAAACACATAATTACAACAATTAGGATGAGCAAATTTTACATTGTATTTTCTATCCTTTAAGTCATTTTATCTCTAATTCTTTTAATCTATGTATGATATATATACAACTAGATTATAACAGATCCAATTAGAAAGTACTTTATCACTTTTGATTACTTTAGTTTACATCAATCGATAGTTGTCTAAGCAGAAGTGATATTAACATTAGCCATCCTTATAGATATTTCATTACGTATAATAGCTGAAAAGAAAGTACTATTATTTATTTAATATTCTTAAGTTATTCTTTAAGGACAGATGGAATCTAATAGATATAGGATCTTTTCTTCTTATTCTGATTTTACTTCTTGTATTCTATTCAATAAAAAAGTATAATAAAATTGATAAAATAAAGTGAATTAGCTGCTATTATTGATGATGTGATTGGATTGATTGTTATTATCTCAAGATACATTGTACAAATAATTCGATTAGTTCTATTAATTAAATAGTAAGAAATCTCTTAAATAGATCACATAAGGTTAAACAACTCCAATAAATTGATGATATTAAATTTGAATAGGTAGATAAATAAACTGAGGAAAGCACTGTTAAATAATAAGCTGATGTAAATTTATGAGAAATATCACACATTCATTTTAATCAAATATTTCTTTATTTTCTATATCAAACTTGTTATTATTATTACCATATTATATGTTTAGAAATAAAAGACCTTCACGTTTGCAGTTACCTGATTCCATAGACAAATTATCAACTCCAGCCATCTTCTCTTAAAGAACACCAATTTCATTAAAAAATCCAATATCTTCTCCTATTATGCATAGGATCAAATCTTTTTAGATTACTACACATCGCAAATTACCAGAAAATAGTTTTGCTTTTGATGATCTTGTTAAAACACCATTTGATGAAGAAATCATGAGTAATCTATCTAAGTAACTCAGGATTTAAACACAGAAGTACTGCCAATCAGCATTTACGATTAGAATCCATCTACAAATTTGTTTATGAAAAGAAACTCCGTGGAGCCACTAAATATCATATTAATCCTAAATCTCATTAATAAGCTTTACCTGTTCCAAATGGTTCAATAAGCATTATGTTAAATAAATAAAAAAAAGATTAAGGTTTTAGCATTTCCTAATTTAAAAAGAAGATTCCTCCTAAGTCTAAATTTAAAATGAAATGGAAAACTATTTAATGGATATTATTGAATCGAAAAGATGCAATTGAATAAATCTTTTCTAATTACTAAAAAATTATTCAAAAAGCAAAGGATAAAAAAGATGGAATGAATAAAGAAGAGTTTTCTGAACTATTGAATTCTGTTTAATTGGGAGCAGATAGAAACCTTGCTGAAAAATTATTTTATGTTTTTGATGAAGATTAAAGTGGTACAGTTGATTATAAAGAATTAATTGTTGGTTTAGAAGTCTTAAAGGATGATACTATAGAGGAGAAATTAAAAAGTAACATATTTTGTAACACATTAAGTTTTCTTTGATTTGTGTGATCTTGATGGATCAGGGAAGATAAGTGAGAAGGAAATATTTAATGTGTTAAAATCTAATATTGTATCTGAAAGTGATAAATATCAATTAAGATAAAGTATTAAAGAAATGATTAAAAATTGTGATTCGAATGGCGATGGAGAATTGGACAAATAAGAAATTTTAGTTGCAGCTAGTAATAATGCAGTGTTAAGAAGATTGTTAGAATAAACAATTTCAAATGTGAAAAGAATTGATACAATAATTTAAAATGATTTAGAAGAACCTTTTCATTAATTTGTACCAGCTACAGCTCATTTTGTATAATAAAAAGAAGGAATTCATTTTCCTACTCAATAAAAAATATTAAATATGATATAGGAAATGGAATCTGTAATATAATTATTATTTAAATAGATTCATGAAACAGCTAGAGAATATATTACACCTAGAAATAAACACAATTCTTTTTAAAATAATCATATTTATTAAGGATTATAAGAGACTAAAAACTTAGAGGATTCTGAAAATTGATTTACTTAATGTATATAAAATCAGCAACAAGTATTATTTTTTTATTTATTTAATTAAGTATTTTCTAATTTTTATTCCTCCTTTGATTTATTTAATTTTTTGTTAATTTTAATTCCATAATTCTAAAATTAAATATTCAAATTTACTTCTTTACTAGGATCAATATCTCCAGAATTAACTTTTTCTATAATTTTTTTAGTCAAATTTTCAAACACCAAATTGACATTTAATCCAGTTTTAGCAGAAGTCTCGTAATACTCAAAATTATACTATTTAGCAAACTGCATTCCCTCTTTTTACGACACTTGACGTCTTTGTTACTTAATCAATATATACTATTCTTCAAGATCTGTTTTATTTCCCAATATAATGAGTTCAATATCATCACAAGCATAACTTTGTATTTTCTCATACCATTAAACTAATCCTTAAAATGATAATCTGCTTGTAACATCAAAAACAAGAATTCCTCCAATTGCTCTTAAAATTTATGGTATCATACCCTCTATAAAAAGAACGAGTCAAAGAACGAAAAGACTCTTATCCTGCAGTGTCCCAAATATGTAGATTCACATTTTGATCCATTATTCTAATTTCTCTAGAGCCAAAACCTATACCAATTGTAGTATCATGAGCATTTTTGAATCTTTAATCCGTAAATTATAATAGCAGACAACTTTTACCCACATCTAACAAATATTAGCATAATTTAATATACTAGTATCTCCTACAATTATGATTTTAAAACAAAGCATTTAATATAAATTATTGGAATAGTTCATCATATCCCATCCTAATACTAAATAATCAATAATAATATATTTCATAATCATTTTTGTAATAAATTGTCTTATGACATATTAATCTGATCCTAACTTGTTTATTCTATCATTATTGATTATTCCAATCCTTTAGTTTACAATTATTTGGTGTCTACTACTTAGGATTATTTTTATTCTTAAGGTTTTTGTTTTGGTTCTTCTTCGATTTCTTCCTTCTCTTCATAATAGTGTATCATTCTAATCAATTATGAATCAGAAACTGTCTCAAATTATTAAAGAATGATAGTAGGGGTCAAAGAAATGCAAGAAAGGAAAATAATTATAAAAACACTCTTTACACTGTCTAAAATTGATTCCAAATGATGAATATATTATGGTATGCTTGTACTCCATGTTTCAGATGAACAAGTTGTAAATAATACTAATACACATAATGTAACGTTGAACATGATCACAACTCTAAGTTATAAATAAAAATATTTACATTTATTCTTTAGATAAAGTGCTTAAATAAAGAATTGGTTGCATTTGTGTAGTCAAAAGAACAGTCAAATATGAGACAAGGGAAATGTAATAGAATCCTTCGATGATACCTTCTTGATTGTTTGCATATTATAAAATCTAAAAACAGATATAAATTATGTTACTGTAGCAGGTAAATAAAAAATGATAAATCCTTAATACACAGAGTCAAAGAAGATTAGGAATAATTTCTTTTTGTTGAAATAGTAATCTCTTTAACATTTGATGAATTCACTAGCAAACATTCTAATGACTCGATGATTAACATCAGAATAGAATGAAAAGACCAGAAATCCATATAGTGGTGTAAAATAGGTTTAGAACATAAAATGGAAACTGGTAGTGAAAAGTTGTGTGCTTGAATAACCATTAAAGAAGGAAAAGAAGAATTCACACATTGTAATGAGGAAACCTTTATATAGGATAAATAACAAGAATCCAGCAGTTCTAACATGGGTTTATCTAGCATGAGTCAAGATTAGTTTAGACAACCCATCTAAATTAACTAATTCAATATGACTCATAGCTGAAAATAATGATGGATTTTTAACAGTTTGGGATTGTACACTTGCTCTAATAGTGTTTACTTTACATAAGCATAGATCTTAATCATGAAGACCTACAGAAACAATTGCTTAATTTTTTGATTAATCTTTTTGGAAGGTCATAAGTTATTCAATTTATACTTTATTGAGATCATGAAAGACAACAAAGGATGCTATCATAATTACCTCGTAGAATTAAGATCGTAATTCTCCATCTGATAATGCTTATTCTAAGACTTCTTGATTGATTATTAAGGTAATGAATTTATCATCTATCTTATACAAATTATCAAAAACTTTGAATTCTCTTGTTGATTATTTAAATAATGGTACAGCTTAACTTTTAACACTAGTCATTTCATTATGTAAATCATCTTTTGTAAATTCTACACATTCCATATATTATTTCAAATATTGTAGAGTTTGATCTCTTTCTACATCTCTAATGAAAAACCATTATCTGATTATAGCTAAATTCAAATCCAATATTAAATGAAAATTATGATGGGCAACCGTCTAAAATTAGAATACTCCACAAGGTTTTATTTAAGTCATCAGTTATTCCTCTGCAAATGGAGATAATTAAATATATTTCCTTTTAAATGCTGATGATCCTAATTATTTGTATAATTTTTAGAATTCCTCTTCTTAAAATGTATATTCAAATATAGCTTTTCCTTACATAAATTATGATAATTATGGATGTTCTTTACATAAAGTACTTTCAATGTCTGCCTACAACACCCATATATATCTTTTACTATTCATCTTTTCAAAGAGTTCTCTATCTTTTTTTATTCTATCTTATAATTACTGTAAATCTGATGCTTCTTCATCATCTGATTCTAAATCCTTCTCTTCTAATAATGGCATCTCATATAAATAAGCATCCCATTATTCAGTATTAACAATCAATTTTATCGAGTAACTTCTCAATACTTCTTTCGGTAGTAAAATACTTCTTTGATTATCATCATATGAAAATTGTACACATTCACCTAATTGACAATATTTTTAAATAGCTAATTAAGTAGAATTCAAAGTTTTAAATGGTAATGTTAATAATGCTCTTTCAAATACAAATGTACTTCTTTCTTTATCATCACATTATGCATCATATTCTAGATCAATTTATTCAAAGGCTGTAGATTGATTAACTTATATTTGATCATCCATGATTTCTTTATTTGGTTTAGGTTCATATCCTTATAATTTAACATCATCATTATTTTTTTCATTATCTTTCTTTTCTCCTTAAGGTCCTCCTAATAGAGTAGCTTTTCCTACTCTTAATTTAGGTTCATTAAGAACTTAACCATAATTAACAAATTTAGTATTAGCTAGATTATCTAATGCAACATAACTATTTAATTTAGTTAATAATCCAGATCTTTAAGGATCCATTCCTATGTCACCATTAACTTTTTATCTTGCTAACAATAAGAATATAGGTCTAAAGACTTCTACAAATATAGGAACAATATTGCTAAAGATAATTAATCTATCAATTAATAAAGATATAAAATTATAATTGCTTTATTCTCTAATGTAAATATGTTTATCTTTATTATTACTACTCCAAATAGATCCAGCTATTGAAAATGTGATTGCCAATACAATGGCTATTCCAATACTGAAGAATTCAGAATTTAGAGGATTTAAATATAATGGTAAATTAAATGATAAGGCTTCTCTTAAATATTTTTGGTGTGTTGAAGAATGAAGCAAAACACCAATCAATTAAGGTGATTCTACTATTCCATTTTCATTGACTAATTAATCCTGATTTAATTAAACATCAATAGGTTCTACTAAATCTAATCTTAATCTAGCTTTAGTATTATCTGAAAATATGGGTAATTGATTAAATTCTAATTATCCATCAATATAAGTTAAGTCAGGTTCTAATAATTTTTGTGCAGCTACTTTAAAGGTTTTAACATCATCACCAAAATTAACTTAAGCATGTTCTTTACCATCAGCGCTTAGAATAATCATAGGTGCAGGAACTCTTTCACCTTTTTTAAGTTATACAATGCATCCAGGGAATAATCTAATAATAGTTCGAGTAGTAAATCGTTTTTATACAAAATCATAGACTGATACTAATTATCTATCGAATTTGAATTCTAATTCCAATTCTTATTTGTATACTTTATACCATAAAAAGGTAGGCAATGTTGCAAGTATCAGAATATAAATAATGAAAAATTAAAATTGCTTAATAAATAATGATAGAAAATTACATTAACTGACGTCATTGTATAATCAAGAATAGTAATGATTATAATAAATGGTAAAATAGGAGTCATGAATGCACGTTTTAATGACATTTTGAGAGCATTTTGAAATAAACTTCCTTTTTGTGTCAACATAGAAATTCCATAAAAATCTGTTTTAGTATCAGTTGATTGAATACCTATCTTCAATTATTGACTGAAGATAGTATCAACTAATTCATCTCTATTATCTTAGCTAGCTGGAAATTATTCTGTAGTTCCCTTTCCAATAGGATGTACTGAGAATTCTAAACTATTTTCCATATTTTTTCCATCATATTTTTATATGACATCCAAAATACTTTCATCTTTCTTAGGAGTACTTTTTTATGATCGATTTGATTTTGATTTAATAAATACATCTCCTTCTTCTGGTGGTAATGGTTAATCTTCTGGATCTTCTAATTTCAATACTCCAGGATCATCATCATCTTCATCTTATTTATCATCAGGATTAAGAAATAAAGATTTAGCCATTGGAGTGACATATGTTGGATCAACTTTCAAACCTTATGCTGTTCCTGCTTCTTTACTAGTTTTGAATAACTTAGTAAAGTTGATTACAGGGCCATCTTCATTCACTTCTTAAGCTTCTTCATTGTTTATTTCTTGTTGTCTAACTTGTTTGTGTTTAAATCTGGTGGATATTTTTGGTTGAACTTTTGGAGGTGAATTATCTTCATCTTCATCAAAGGCAATAATATCTAATTATACATAATGTCTATACTATCATCTTCTTCAGCCATCTATGTATTTTATATTTTTATTTTATTATAATCTTTTATATGCTAAGAATAAGAAGACTTTATTTATATAATGTAATAATATCATAGAACCTTTAATTCAAAGGCTCCTGATCGTAATATTGCTGTACGTTCAACACTCAAACTTCCATAAATAAGGTAACATGTTCCAAAACCACAAAAGCATTGGAACCATGGATATTCCAACTAGATATTCTGAACATGTACGCAGATCTCGTTTCCATACTAAAGCCAAGACTTTTGTTAAACCAAAAGAACGTCCACAATTCAAACAATTCCCAACTGAAAAAACTATGCTTACTTTAGGATCACTTAATTCTCCAAGGTCTGAAGATGAAGGAGAATCCTCTGGCAAAAGTTTATTTTCTTTTCGCAGAACTCTTATTGACACATTATCATTACGTCAATCTAGAAGAACCAGCATTGATAAAGATAAGTACAAAGACGAGATAAGATAAGAAAACATTCAAAATGATAAATCTTCTGACAAATAAGCTTTAGAAGAATTAAATTAAGATCCTACTCTAGAAGAAACTGAAATCAGACCAAAAAAAGAATCTTAATCTATTAGACCTAAAAATGAGAGTGTATCCTCCTAATTCACATAATTTACAGATGAAATTCACTCTGTTTGGGATAATATGGATTTGTATTTAAGAGGTCTTCAATTTGATGATTTTGATCATTAAAATCAATTACAATCATTTCTACTTTTATATAAAATGAGATGTGGTGGCTTTCCAGTATCTCTTAATTTATATTTATTATTAGGGTGCAAAAGAGAATCTAGAAAATGAAGAGGTAATTAGAAGGGCAGTTGAATTTGCTAAAAGTAATCGACAAGTATTCAAGAAATATTTTCCTACCAAACAAGTTGTGTTTGAGAATGAGGAAGACTATACTTAAAATTATGATGTAAATGCCGATGCAAATTTCAAAAAATTTTAAATTTATATTCAGAATTATAATCAACGATCATGATATTTCTCATTCAATAAATATATTAGTAATCAATTAAATAATATTCTTTCAATATAGTTTATGCATTCGTTTCTACTTAATTGCATTTTACTGCTGTTTAAGAATTGTTCAATATTTTAACTGTACTCTCCAACAAACTTTGCATAGTTGCACAACAAAAATGTAAAGAGCTAAATCTTAGCATTTTCATATCCCAAAATTATTTAATACAAATATTCTAAATTAACATAAATTTATTACGTTTAATAAATTACAAACTTAAATGTTTGGCCAAATTGCAAAACTATATTGAATATTCAAAGTTATTGTTGAAAATATCCATGAATTCCATATCATTCATTATTAGAGTATAGTTTTCATTTAATCTTAGTTAGCATTCTTAGAAGCTATTAAAACTATCAAAATGAAGTTCTAAAATTTATTTTTCTATATTTTTAAATGTATCACTTTATTTAAAGTTTTCAAATTCCTTCAATTCTAAATTATTTACATTTCCATCAACTAAACAACTTTTTAATTAAGTTGTTTTCATCATAATATTTTTTAAGATGATGAATTATAACTTATACACAGTAGTCTATTAAATAGTGACTTATTAAAAATCTAATAGTTAGATCCTAATTTATTTTAACAATAATATAAATTCAATCTAATTTTGAATGATTTATTTATTATTTTAGATTTAAAGTTCATCATTCTCACTTCTTTACTTAGTAAACCCTTTTTCTGTAAACATCTTATTACCACTATTTCTAGTACTTTATGGTTGATTGCCAATGCTTATAGTTCGATCTTTTTTAAGTGTTTATGGTATCATCATAGTTTTGCTATGTTGAAACAATTAACGAATCTCTTATTTAGGTGAATCTACTTTAGATAAAAGTTCTTTTTAGTTTATTTTTTATTTATTGTAAATTTAAAGAGGAGATTTGGTTTGTGGAGGCGAATTCACAGCAACCAATTTAGTGTTGATGATAGAAGTATCAGATTCATTTTTAATTTACGAGGTTGAATACTGAGATTTTTATGATTTGGAATCCTATTCTTTAATAAGGAATTTATTTTCAAATAAAGGATGAGTAAATACTTGTTCCCATCCTAAACGTTTTGATTCTTCATATTGTAGACATCCTAAAATAAACTATTGTGACATGGGTGATATTTTTTTACCTAATAATAATTCATAGACAATAATAGATACTAAATTTTATATTTGTATTTCTTTGCTTATTTATTAAATCAAGAATATCCATAACATTCCATGGAGTTCTACCTTCTATTAATTCATAATAAATTAACCCTATACTCCATACATCACATTTTGAAGTGTATTATTTTCTTAATAATACTTATGGTGACATATACAATGGAGTTCCTGCTAATGAATTCATTAGATCTCCTTCTAAATGCTAAAATCGTTTCGCAAATCCAAAATCAGCTATTTTGAATATATTTTCAGAAGTAATTAGAATATTTGCAGGTTTCAAATCTCGATGAATGATTCCTCTCTTAAATGATTGTAAAATTCCTTTTAAAATTTGCATCAAAATTGGTAAAGCTTATTATTCATTTAAACATCCATTTCTCTTCATGTATTCTCTTAAATCTCCACCTGTGCATAATTCACTAATAATATAGCAATTATTTGGAGTTTGAACTACATCTATTAATTTTACTATATTTGGACAATCCAAATCTTTCATTATATCGATTTCTTTTCTTAGAGATTATTAATCACATTACAAAGGTACAACTTTAATAGCAACAACTTAACTTTTAATTTAAATTTCAATATACTTAGTATCAATATTCATTCCAACATATACAATTCCATATGAGCCTCGTCCTATTACAGCTTATTAACTAAATGTATAATTGAGAATCCTTTTATCAGGTTGAAGCTAAGATAATTGTTGAATTCGACTCTGCATGATCGTTAATTAAATTAAATATCATAATTATTATATATTCAATTCTACTAACTTATTTTAAAATAGCATTTTCAATCATTTAAATAATCTAGGATGTTATCCCATAGGTTGGAATAAGAATAATATCTGATTATGAATTTATTAGATAAGAATAATAAGGAATTGAGATGAATAAAAATAATTAAATTATTCTTATTCAAACTATTGATAATTGCTGCCAACTTTTAAAGGGATTTTACTAAATATTTCATTTCATCTGCTAGAAAGTGATAAGTAAAAATAAAATGATAAACAATTAAGAACTCTCATTCTCTGAAGAATAGAATCAAATACAATCTAATCATTTACAATCAAGCAATATATAATAACAATCATCAGAATTGGTAAAGCCTTAAACTTAAGAAATAACATAACCATAAGAAGACCTTCCTAATCCATCTTCATAAATTTAAGAAGGTTCTTAATGTTAAGATATCTCTTAAGATTAATAAATTAGTACATTGTCTCCATACATAATAAAGTTATCAGATGCAAAATAATTATATAAAACTATGGCAATTAAAAAAGATAATGAAAATGTATTCAATAAAATAGCATCTACAACAATGGATTGTTTACCAATGAAACTATTTCATATTGGAACTAGAAGTCATTAAGGAAGTTTCATTAATGGAGATTAATGTGAAAGAATAATTGAAATCAAAACTATTGGTAAAAATATAATATTTTAAAATGATTCTTATGAATTAGCCATATTGGAATGGAAACCAAGGTATTCCATTTAATTTTATTTATAGAGCTGATGGAGTTAAACCTAATAATTCAGGAGAGTTATTAAAATAGGTGCAGAACTTATATCCAGATTTACTTTAAAAATATTATGATCAAATGAGAAAGGAATGATTAATGTTATTTAACTTAGATTATTATCTTTATTATCTTCTTTAAAAATACTGATAACTATGTCTTAATATTATTAATTTGAATAACATTATTATTTTATTTATTTAAAATGTCAGATTCACTTGAAAGTACTATCTAAAATTGATATTAGAGTAATAATTCTAAGGCCCAATGTCAGTTCTAATGTCTAATTATGTTTGTATTTAAGATGGTGATTTTCTATAACCTCCTAGTTAGAATTCATACTCTGTTCCTATTGAACTTTCTCCTAATAATCCAATTAAAAATTAAGTTAAAAAAACTTTAATTACTGGAACTGGTAGGTAGAGTGTATTTGAAGAAGAATCTTCACATCATGGTAAACCTGAATTTCTTAAATTAATTATTGCCAAAAGCTTATAAAATAACTTTATTAATAATTTATGGAATAAGTCCTATTTAAGAAAATTGCATCAATTAACAGAATATCAAATTAAAACTATTGATGATTTAAGATTTAGTAGTAATGTTGCTGAATCTGCTTATGATAGCCCAAATGTATTTACACCTTACAGTGAATTTATTTTCTTTTGGGATTTCTCTTAGATTATCTTATATTTATTTATATTCTTTTGGTTACCTTTTAAATTATCCTTTGGTATGAAACAAATTTGTGAATTTTGGAATGAAGATAACAATCACAATTTAGAATTCCTTATTTTAACTCTTTTATCATGCGATGTATTAGTTGGAATGAATATGGCCTTTATTCATAAAGGATAAATCATCAAAAATAGAAGAAAGATCTTATTCAATTATATAAGATAATATGCTTTTGTTGATTTAGTATTATTTTATTTATATTTTGGTTTCATTAGCAGTCTTGACATTTCATTTCTTTTTACATGATACTTCACAACTAGCAGTCACTTTATTAATAATATTTGCTGTTGTCTTTTATATATTGAGACTCAATAAAATTGATAAAATCCTTGCTTTGATTTAAGAGTAACATTTATTTATATAATTTTTAGATTCTTTAATTTGAATGGATCTCTAAGTGATCTTCTTGCATTAATATAAATGATAACTATTATTATATATATAATCCATATTTGTGCATGTGTTTGGCATGGAATAGCTGATGTTAATCTATAACCAAATTGGATAGATTCATATCAATTAAGAAATACTGAAGTATATGTCAGGTACAATGTAGCTGTTTACTGGGCAACAATGACTATGACAACAGTGGGATATGGTGATGTAACTGCTTAAAACAATATTGAAACAGCTGTAAATAATGTAACTATGTTAATTGGTAGTATTGTTTTTGCATATTCAGTAAATAGTATAGGAATATTTGTATCTAATCTTTATAAGAGTAGATAAGAATATAATCGTACAGTAACATTGATAAATACATTTATGTCTAAAAATAAGATATAATTTGATCTTTAGACTAGGATTCGAAGTTATTTACAATATATTTGGTAAGAGGAATAATAAATGAATGAAGAAGAAGTAGGTTCAATAGTATCTAAATTAAGTAGTCATTTATAAGATGAATTGAATCTATAATTAAAAGGTAATATACTGAATTAATGTAAAATAATAACAAAGACATTTTCATAGAAATTCAAATAACACTTATTATTAATGATGGAGGAATAAAGTTTTTCTCCAGAAGAGAGGATAATAACGGTATTTAGATTAATATATAATAATAGTTAAATTAATAAGATGATAATTCATTATACATAATATCAAAGGGAGAAGTGGAAATAATATTTGAAGGTATAAACTAAAATGGAGATGTATAATAAAGAAATAGTTTATAATAATTAAAGGCAGGAGATTATTTTGGAGAGATATCATTTATAACAGGTAAATTAAGAAGTGCATCTGGAATAGCAAGAGGATTTGTAAGAGTATTTAAAATAAAGAGAGAATCCTTTTTAAAGATATTAACACTATTTCCTAATGATTATGAAAAGTTTTGTTAATTAAAAGATTAATTGATGATGAAATAATCAGTACCACAAGCTATATAATGTTATAGTTGTAAGAGTAATTAACATCTAATAAATGAATGTCATTTCCATCATTATTGTGGAGATAAAGAATCAATTATAAAGAAAGAATATTTTCCAATTGATTAAAAAAGAAAATCTATATATAGAAGACGATTTACTAGTAAATTACATCCTTGGCTAACATAATATGTTCTTACTAATAAAGCTAAACAATATGCATTTTCTAATACTGTTACTGAAAATGAATCAGAAGAAAATGAAGATGAAATTAATGGTGTTTATTAAACGAGTGAAGAAGAAGAAGAAGATTAAGTATTATAGAGAGATAATTCATAATCAATTAGTGCTACTCAACATTTAAATGATACAGAAGAAGAAGATAATAATAATAAATTATCAAAATATAAAAGAAACATTGTTGCACCTCATGAAACTATTAAAACTGCTGGTTTTGCATTATTAAAATAAGAGAAATAATCATAAAATGATTCACCTTAAACAGAAGGACTTATAATTGAATCAAAAAAACTAATCAATACATATTAAATTAGACCACATTAAGGAGATAATAAAACTAACCCTAAAACATCTAAAAAAAGAATTACTATGATTAAAGAAATGCCAGAAGATAGATAAGGATCTGAATAATAAAAAGCATATTAAGTTCGTTAACCAACTAAAAAGAGAACAAAAACTAATAGAATTCTTAAAGATCATAGTTAATTCACTGATGGGTATCTTTTTTAAGATACTTCTACATCATAACTTTTTGATAAAATGTAGATCTTCACTTATTATTTCCCTATTAATAATTATGATGTAATACTCAAACGTTATGCCAAAATTTAAAAATTATTTGGTAAAAAAAGACTATTCCCGGAATCTTCCATTTATAGTTTTTATATTCNTTTAGATTAATATATAATAATAGTTAAATTAATAAGATGATAATTCATTATACATAATATCAAAGGGAGAAGTGGAAATAATATTTGAAGGTATAAACTAAAATGGAGATGTATAATAAAGAAATAGTTTATAATAATTAAAGGCAGGAGATTATTTTGGAGAGATATCATTTATAACAGGTAAATTAAGAAGTGCATCTGGAATAGCAAGAGGATTTGTAAGAGTATTTAAAATAAAGAGAGAATCCTTTTTAAAGATATTAACACTATTTCCTAATGATTATGAAAAGTTTTGTTAATTAAAAGATTAATTGATGATGAAATAATCAGTACCACAAGCTATATAATGTTATAGTTGTAAGAGTAATTAACATCTAATAAATGAATGTCATTTCCATCATTATTGTGGAGATAAAGAATCAATTATAAAGAAAGAATATTTTCCAATTGATTAAAAAAGAAAATCTATATATAGAAGACGATTTACTAGTAAATTACATCCTTGGCTAACATAATATGTTCTTACTAATAAAGCTAAACAATATGCATTTTCTAATACTGTTACTGAAAATGAATCAGAAGAAAATGAAGATGAAATTAATGGTGTTTATTAAACGAGTGAAGAAGAAGAAGAAGATTAAGTATTATAGAGAGATAATTCATAATCAATTAGTGCTACTCAACATTTAAATGATACAGAAGAAGAAGATAATAATAATAAATTATCAAAATATAAAAGAAACATTGTTGCACCTCATGAAACTATTAAAACTGCTGGTTTTGCATTATTAAAATAAGAGAAATAATCATAAAATGATTCACCTTAAACAGAAGGACTTATAATTGAATCAAAAAAACTAATCAATACATATTAAATTAGACCACATTAAGGAGATAATAAAACTAACCCTAAAACATCTAAAAAAAGAATTACTATGATTAAAGAAATGCCAGAAGATAGATAAGGATCTGAATAATAAAAAGCATATTAAGTTCGTTAACCAACTAAAAAGAGAACAAAAACTAATAGAATTCTTAAAGATCATAGTTAATTCACTGATGGGTATCTTTTTTAAGATACTTCTACATCATAACTTTTTGATAAAATGTAGATCTTCACTTATTATTTCCCTATTAATAATTATGATGTAATACTCAAACGTTATGCCAAAATTTAAAAATTATTTGGTAAAAAAAGACTATTCCCGGAATCTTCCATTTATAGTTTTTATATTCTCACCATGAAGAAAGGTTATAAATTAAGAAAACTAGGAGAAGAATTGTAAAATCAAGTTAGACCATCAAAGTTACCTCCTTAGTCCAAAAAGTCTCATAGGAAATCCAAACCCACTTTATTATTTGGTAAAGACTTTATAATGAATAATAATATAAATGTGTGATTCTTCTGATAGTTTATTTAGAAATCATATCTAGTATGGAGAATTCTAAGGACCAAATCCTCAACTTTTAAGCAATAAAGTTGTTTCATAATAAGGAGATAATCAAGAAGGCAGCTGTAGTTCATTTACGGGACCTGAACAATTTCTAATTCAACACTCTCTAGCTCGAATCCCATAGAATATGGAAAGGATAAAAACAATGGGAGGTAGGAAATCAGAATATCAATCCGCATATGAATAAGAAGATTAAGAGTCCATTAAAGATAGCAAACCGTAATTTTTGAGATTAATAATTGCAAAAAGTTTGTAAAACAATTTCATTAATAATTTGTGGAATCGATCTTATCTGAGGAAATTAAATCAATTGACAGAATATTAGAAATCTCAATTGGATGATTTTTAATATGAATAGGATACATTTGTTAGTCTGGTACGTTAAAATTCGAAATCTTTGATCCAATAATTGGCATTTTGGAAAGCAATAGAAGTGTTTACACCTTATAGTAAATTTATAGTGATTTGGGATGTATTTCAAATAATCACATACATAACAATATTTTTTTGGTTGCCATTTAAAATATCATTTTAAATATATTTTATTAGCGATTTATTTGAGATAGGAAACACAAAGTTTATAGAGATGATATTGCTTTCAATATTAGCATTAGATGTAGTAGTTGGTTTGAATTTGGCTTTTATTTAAAAAGGTTAAATTATAAAAGACCGAAAAAGAGTCATAATTAATTATTTCAATTAGTATGCATTTGTTGATTTGGTATGAATTACATTTAACTTATGGTTTCGTTATTCACAGTATCTGCTCAATTTTTCATTCCGAATCTAGATAGTCAAGACAATTTTACGTTAATTATTTAAATAGTGTTATGTGCCATATTTTATATATTAAGAAGTACAAAAATAAATAAAATACTAGCATAAATATAAGAGTAAATATAATTAAATAACATAATATAGATTTTTTAATTTGAATGGTTCTTTAAATGATATGGTTGGATTAATGAAATTATTAATGGTAATAATATTTATAGCACATATTTGTGGTTGTATTTGGCATGGAATTGCGCATTATGCAAGTAGTTATTCATGGCTTGATGCTTATAATTTAAGATATAAATCTAATGCAACTAAATACAATTATTCTATTTATTGGGCAACTATGACAATGACAACAGTAGGTTATGGAGATATCACTGCTTAAAATAATACTGAATTATTGATTAATAATATCACTATGTTTGTTGCTAGTATTGTATTTGCATATTCAGTTAACAGTATTGGAATATTTGTATCAAATATTTATAAAGGTACTATGGAATATAGTAGATCAGTAACATTGATAAATACATTTATGTCTAAAAATAAGATTCAATTTGATTTATAGACTAGAATTAGAAGCTATTTAGAATATATATGGTAAGAAGAGTAAGAGATGAATGATGATGAAATAGGTTCAATTATGAAAAAATTAAGTAAACATTTATAAGATGAATTATAATACTAATTAAGAGGGAATATATTAAAAAATAGTAAGGTAATAGTGAGATTATTTTCTGAACAATTTGTTAAGATTTTAATTTAATCAATGGAAGAAATATCATATTCTCCTGAAGAAAGAATTATCACTTGTAATTAAATTGATGATTGTTCTCTTTATATAATTAGTAAAGGTGAAGTTGAATTACTATTTTCTGGTAAAAATTAACTTGGTGATATGATTAAAAGAAATTCAATAAAATATTTATGTTAAGATGAATGTTTTGGCGAAGTTGCATTCTTTACTGGAAATGCCAGAACTGCAACTGCAATATCTAAAGGTTTTACAAAAGCATTTAAAATTAAAAGAGAAAATTTTTTAGCCATTTTATAATCATTTCCAAATGATTATGAGAAATTCTGTGATGTTAGAGATCGATTAGTATATAATGAATACTCTACATTACAATTAAATTGTTATAGTTGTAACAGTAATAAACATTTATTAAATTAATGTCATATTTTACATTATTGTGCTGATCATGAGAAAATCCTTAAGAAAGAACTTTACCCAGTTGAATAATAAAGAAATACTAGATTTTATAGATAGATTAATCATAAAGAACCTTAATCATAATCAATGTAGAAGTATTATTCAATAAGAGCTCATGATTTAATGTAAGATTTAAAATAGTAAGAAAAAGGAGGATAAGATTTAGATGATGTAGATTCACATACTATTCCTCTAAATGATACATATGATGATGAAGGTATATATATATATATAAATATTTATTATTATAGATTAACATTCATCAATCAATTAATAAAGAAGTCAAACAAGAACATTAAGTAAATTAAGTTAAAAATAAACATAATAACAAGATTTAGATGAAGATAGAAATAATTAAGGATATGCTAGACGACAAAGTTCTTAAAGATAAACTATTCAAACTGCTGGTTTTGGTGTAAATATTTCAAAAAACAAAGAAAGTATATAATTATTTTTATATTAGTATTTTAAAATGATGAATAATTAAGTGATTCAAACAATTCTTCTGAAGAAAAAGACTAGGTTTTCATTCTAAAATAAAAAGCTATATCTAAGCCTAATGAACAAAATTAAAGAAATTCACTAAAAAGATAACTTTCTAGAACTGGATCAAATGATGATCATTCAAAACCAGCTACAAAAAACTAATCTTATCCACCTAAACATCATTCTGACTTAGAAGTTAAAATTTAGACATAAAGAGAATAAGGTAGAAAAATTACTAATAAAACTCATAATGAAGATTAACCAACTATTCTTGGTGATAATTTTACTCAAAATAATAATATTTCAGCACCTACTATGTCAGTATTATTTTATAATTTTGATAAAATGGCCGTTTTTTAATATTATTAACCTTTAAATAATTATGATTCTGTTATTAGAAGGTATTTTTATTATTTTATCATCATTTTAATAGATATGCCAGAGCTTAAAAATACTTTGGAAAAAAAAGATTATATCCTGAAACATCTCTCTATTCATTCTATTTTATTGCTATTAAAAAAGGGTGGAAATTGAGAAAACTCGGCAAAATTGTTCCAAATGACATTTCTAAACTTATAAACAACACCAAAGTTTTAAAAAAAGTTGTTAATAAATTTAAAAAAGAAAAAAAGAAGGTTTTAGTTTAAATTTAATGAAATTATACAAATCAAACTAACTTTCATTTCTCTTATACTATATTCTTAATTTAATGTAAAATATTTTTTAATTACATTTATTCATTTGGTATTGTTCTTAAAAAAAACATCGTGATTCTAAAATCTTATCTATGATAAATTTAAGTTAGATATCCATACAATAAATAAATCAAACTTAGACTATAAATATTTATTTAACTTATTACCTTATTCCGACTCCAATCTCATATAATTCTATCATTAAAACATAATTATTAAATTAATGTTATCCAACTTCAAATAATTTCTCTATTTCCATATCTAAAGTGTTTACACTTTCTATAAAATAAATTAAAAATGTATTTATAAAAGATTAACTCTTTATATATTCTAATAATTCTTAAGAAACTTTCTAAAACTATTTTGTAGTTAATTCATAATTGAATTCAGTATTTTTTACCTTTTGAATATTATTTGTTAAACTTATTAATCCCCTTTCTATTAATTAAGACATTTCATTATATGGATATACATTATTTTTGCAATATTCAATCATATCTGAAAAATATTCACATTAATTGTTAATTAAAGAATCTAGTATATCATTTTCTTACAATCGTTCTAATTCATCAATGATATCATTAGTAATATTTATTTAATTATTTATTGATTAGTTAAAATCTTCAATTATCGAAGAATCTAATGAACTACTTATTTTTATAACTTAAAATGTCTTAATAAGATTTCCATAAGTAAGACTGTGATCAATCATAATATTTAATTTTAGAAATTACTTCTATAAAGATAGATACTCTTTTTTATAATAAATTTATTAAATGAATAATCCCATTGCACCAAATAAACACAAAAGCAATAAAACAATTATATTAGGGTATATATATTAATGTCCGATATTTCCTTCTAAATCATGGTTTTACTTTCTTTAAGATTTATCATGTTAAACATCTTCAGAGATTATTTTGACATAAGAAGTCAATTTCCAATTTTTTTAATTACTACATTCAAAATTATCTTTTATTGTTGAAAGTCTTGCTATTTAATTTTATATTTTGCTTATATTTGTTTGATGGGCTAATTTTAATAATTTTATGATCACCTTCTATTTTGTAGATAAAAATTTAATTTGGTAGAGCATTAAAAGAGAATATAAAATTATAAAAATTGATGCAGAAATATAATCTGTTGATTAATCTTCAAAATTATCTAAATCATACATAACTATATCATAAATATAATCAAATAAGAATTACGTATTATTTGTAAATTAAAATGCTTACAAATTTGTTTTATCCCAGCTTTATCTTATATCATCATTAAATTATTGAAATAATATATTAAAATAATTAGCATTAATATCTTAATTTTATTGATAATTGTTGATCAATTTATATTATTGATCATAAATATTATAATCAAAAATAATTGAAGCTTATTTTTCTGACATTTAAAATATAATTTCATTTTTATTAAAAATAGAAGTGTCTCTTAATAATTATGTTATGAGTAAATTTAATTTGATTGCACATATTCTATGAAATTTTACTTCATTAAAAATTTAATTAAGAAAATTATCATTTTCTGATATATGATTGTATGATCTCAAAGAGTCTAAAACAATATTAATTATTAATAAGATTATTACACAGAATAAAAAATAAGTAAATTTTTTTAGAGAAATAAGTGTAAAATTTTAACTGCTAATTTTTTCAAGATATTAGAAAGTATCTTTTAAAGCATTCAATTATTTTGTAAAAGTTTAATTACTTAATTATTCATTAATAATTTTTGTTTTTTATTTTTAATATTAATCTTTAAGATTTTTGTCTTTCCAACCATCAAAATTGTCATCATCTTATTCTTAATTATTGATAATGTTTCTTTCAAATGCAATTTCATCAAATTCTTTTTCTGCTTCTTATAAAATATCATCATCTTATTGAATGTTTATACTTTAAAGTTCTATTCTAGTTGTCAATAGATGTTTTTTAGGTTGTCTATCAGTTTAAATCTTTAATAATCTAGATGAATTTTCAAAATCAAAAGATTAAAATTTCTATTTGGTTATATTAATAGAAGATATTTAATTTTCATTATTACAAATTATAGCTTATTTATCTAATTCTAATTTATTTAGATATAATAAATGATTTTTTAGATTAATTTAATTAATTTAATTATCTAAATCATCATAAAATAAAGGTTTTTCTGAATTTATATCATCAACATCGCTTTAAGGAAAACTATAACTAGACATATTTTTAGCACTAGACTCTGTTTTTTTAGTTTAATAAGTTGTGAAATTTTAAGTAGTTGTCTTTTAAGTAAATTCTTAACGATAATCTTTCAATTCCATTACAAAATATCCTAAAGATTTTTTACCTATTTAAATCTTTTTATAAATTAAAGAATAAATTATAACCAATCGAATTCTATTTGTTTTCTATTTATCATTAAATTAATCTAACATTTATCGAATAGAATTATGATAATTTTAATTTAAAATAGACCATTCAATTCCATCAACCATTAATTCTTTATTTGATGATCTTGACTCATCAAATTCTGATACTTATAGCGACTTTTCAGTTTATTTTGAAGTTTATAAATTAGTTTTTTAAGACATAAAATTCGAAAAAGACAAAAGTTAATTCATAGATGAATTATATTACTATTTAATTAATGAACTTGTATTAAATATACAATTCAAATGATTCTCTGGATATTACCATTAAGATTATACTTCTTAAATAATATAATTTTAATGTTTCTCTATTGATTATTTTAAAACTTAAATTTATTCTTAGATGTTTTCAATATAATATTATACAAGAGAACCTTTTTCAATTAAATCATTAATTTAAAGCTTTTTTGTATAAGTTTCATATTAAATCGATTATTAGGAAAATTCAAAAAAATCTCTTGTCATCCCATAAAGTTTTCCATTCATACCAAATACTATTTAATCATTATAATTTAATTCCTTTGTTAAAATTACATTTATAAAATAATCATTTTGTCCTTACAATGGTATCATATGAATATTACAAGGAACAATATATCCTAATAAATCTTAATAAAATGTTTATTATCCTTATTAACATAATCGAGACTATCCTTTTTATATAAAGTTTTCTATGAATTAATCATGTACATTTGATAAGAATGCTGGCATTATTTCAAAACTACTCTTAATAAAATTAATTTCTTCAATAGAAGTATCAAAAAATAAGCTCATCTACTAATAATTTGGTTAGATCAATTTATTAATATTATAAATGAGACTGGTTGTTAGAAGCATAGATCTATCTAATGATAGCAAAATATTTACTAGTTGCTAATTAATTATTATCTATTGTATTAGATTATCTAAATTTGTCACTTCTAAATAATTCATTAATTTTATCTTCCATAGATTATGCCTAAGGTTTTTAACAAAGAATATACTTTAATTATATCTACTTTAGCAACACAATAATAAAGTTATAATAATCTTAAAGTTATTACATCACTCTATTAATTATCTTTTAATTTACAATTCTTAATATCATATATTTTCTCTATATTTTTACTAATTTAATCTATTTTTCTGCCAACTTATTGTGTTTATTAATAAAATTGTTTAATTCCAAATTGATTCACAATTGTTTAATTCCAAAATTTTATTAAAAATTAAATTAAAGATATTAATTATTTTTTGACGTTTTCGCTCTCTATTTAAGATTTATATGATGTATAAATATAATTAGAAATATCAAAGTTAGTTTCATTCATTTTCTAAAATGTTAATATTGCTGATTAAAAATAAAAATCTTCACTTTATTCTTTGAATAATTCAACTAAAGCTCTTAAAGGCCATTTCTTAGAAATAAAATTTGCATATATTATTTTATCTCTTTCATTCTTACAATTTCTTTTTAAAATACATTCAATTATATCATAAAAAGCCTTACATTTTGTACATTTATGATTGTTTTTAAAAATCAAAAGCTGAATTCTGGCCTATTTTTCAATTAAGCATTTTTTATAGACTTTTTCTGCTAATTAGCAACTAATTATAGTTTCTGATCTAAATAGTATTTATTATAATGCATTATATTGAATCTATGATTGTAATGATAATATTAGTATACTAATTAGTAAATAATCCATCATTCTATAATCAGCAAGTAATGATAAATTGAACAATAAAAATAATATACTTAGTTAGATTTTACTAATTTATATTGTTATTAACTTAAATAGATTCAATAAGATAATCCAAACTAAAATAATTTATTCTAAAATAAATGAAATTGTATCATCATAAAATGATAAATAAATGGTTATAAATTCAACAAGTTTGATTAAAATTCTTGCTAAAATAATTTTATTTGTAATATTCTCATTATGAGTTAAAGAATCTCCCCTTTAGAAAAATACTACTAAAAAAGTAATAAAAAGTGTAATTATTATGTTGATTAATGAAATCAAGAAATAAAAGATACTTTCAGTAAAACATTATTTAATATTTAACCATAGATTTGGAATGAAAAATACATTAGGATAAATATTTAAGGTAATATTAATCGTAATCATTAATAATACCCAATTCTTCGAATTATGTTTAATGTTTAACAATACTACAATAAATATGCTTATTGCTAAAAATAAATTATAAATGAGTAAAAGAAATTGAATGTGAGGAAAATACTTCTCTGGAATTAAATTAAAAATAAATGTACTTTTCAAAAAGGAATAAATAGTACTAAAATAATATTGAAAATGTTTACACTATTTCTGAATTAGGTTCAAAGTTCTTTCCTAAATTAAAAAGTTATGCTAAATACAAGAAGTTTGTGAATTGTAAAATTGATTCACTTATATTTGCTTAATCAAAGTGTAAAAGGTAATGAAAATTTTTAGCTTTTTAAATTATTTTTTTCATTTAATTATTTACAATATATTAATAACACATATAATTATCATAAAATAATTTATCCTCTATATAATTAAAGAAATTATCTTATTTTTTATTCAACAATAACAATAATATTAAATATTCACAGTTCAAAAGACAATTTTCTTGAATTAGTGCTATCTTGATATTACAAATATTTTTTCAATAAATTTGTGAAATAAATAGATATAAAAATGGAGAATCAAATTATTTTTTTAAAGAAAGTAACACTACTATAATTATAAAAAATACATTTTTACATAGTTATAATTTACTTATTGTGACAATTAATAGATAAATATTGATAAAATTAATAAATTAAATTTTTTAAAATGTAAAATTATGAGAAAAAAAGAATCATCTTTCAAAATAATGAAATACCAAATTAGTTAATAAAGAAGTACTAGAATACAATCAGGAAAACCTTTTCTTTAAAATAAAAATAGCACTATTTATCAAACAATATCAAATATAAAGATCTTTCTTAAGATTATTAAATTTAAACACTTTGAAGATATAAAATTAAATAATGAATCTAGAATTGTTAATTACTTCATTAGGGATATCTATATTTTATTGGTTACAATTAATAAATTATATATTTAAAATGATAAAATGATAAAATCATAAATTTGGCGTAAATAACAAAAGCTGATTTATGTATAGGAAAACAAAGAGTTATATAAATTAGTTTTATGTAAATGAATTTTATCTAAGGGAGCAATACAGAAAAATTAGAAATGGAATTATTAAAATAAGTAAAGTCAGATTATACAATCTTTAAATAGTATTGAAAATAACAAAAAAAATTAGTTGAATAATAGAGTTTCCCAAAATATAATTCAATTTTATCTTGCTAATGCTATTAAATTTGAGTTAAATGACAATATTACTGGGTACACACAAATAATTAAAGATTTCAATCATTAGCAACTTATCAAATATTTAAATTTAAGATTTGATTACCTGTCTTCTTTGATATATTTACATTCTTTAATCATATCAATAATATCAAGTATTTAGAGTATATTCAAAATTTACAAAATCTAATAAATTTAATCAATTAAATGATTAATACTTAAAATTTGAATATTGCAACTATGGAAAATAATATATTTAAACAACGAAATTATAACCAAATGATACTATTACATTTTAAGCTAACTAAATGTAATAATCATTTTATTTTATAAATTTCAATTATAATACTTCTAGTAAAACAGACATTAAAATTAGAATATAGATTATTCTCTCTTTTATGTTTCCTATTTGAAAATAAAAAAAAGGGATAGATCTTTATTTTAAACTCATCATATATTTATCACTTTTAATTTAATAAAAAATATATAAAAATATTATTTTTATTTTTTCTACTTTAACTTTCTCTTAAGAAGTTTAAAGCAAAAAAAAGAAACTTAGTCTAATTCCTAATTTAATAGTTTTGATTTTATTAAAATCTAGTATGATAGCATAAAATGATAGTAATATAGATTGAATATGATTTTTGCAATAATTCTTATTATAATTTAAAGTTATTGTTGCCAAAGAAGAATGACACAAAATATGTTAATTTTGAATAATTTATATAAATTTATTTGACTTATCTATGTATTATTAATAAGATGTTATAATCTATTGAGAAATTATTCAAATTGATTTGCTTAATAATTCACCCATCAACTTCTTAGAAATAATCTGAAGTGTTACATTATATGTTTACAATACTCAATAAATTTTAAGAATTGTATTTGATTTAGGATTCTATATAATAAACTGGAATGTTTACTAAGTATGATTTTATATAATTAGTTCAATAACTTTAATAATTGAGTACTTTTTTGTAATCAATAATCTCAGCTCATCTTAATTAGGAATTGTTGTAATCCTTTTTTTTACTTTGCATTTAATATTGGTGCTTTTGATAATCAAATTTATTTTTCACCACGATTAACCTACTCAAACCATTATTCATAATTTTCTAATTAATTATCCATTAATACTGACTATACCTATAATGTATACAAGTTTTTCCATATTTCTTAATGAATCCTTTTTTAAATTATCAAGTGGAAATTCAAACAAAGATTTATGTTTTTTCTTTTCAATTATGAATTTAATATTTTTAACTATAGTGACTGTGATTCACATTTACTTTGCTCGTTGTGAAACACTAATGGATGATAATAATATTTTAAAATTGGATAAGTCAATTACTAAGAAAATTATGGAAAATTTACTTTTACTTTCGATTATAGCTTTAAAATCATCTAATGAATTACAATCATTAAGAGTTATGTTATTAATAATTAAGTATTTAATTTATATAACATCATCTTTAAAATGGATAAATGAAAAAAATTTCATAATTATTGAAAGTATTTCTTCTGTCATTTCTATAGGAATTGTACTCAAATTATCACTTTTAGATATTCTTTTAATTGCTTTGTTAATATTATCAATATTAGTTTAAATTTAAGATCATTGTTTATCATTTTATATAACAACAAAAAATTAGGATAATTTTACTACAATCTAGGTATTCTATAATATTTAACTATTATTAGATAATCTAACAATGTCTTAGAATGGGTTCCAATACTAAACATGCAATAATTCTCAGAACTATAACAAATAATCATGTCTGTCCAAGAAAGACTAAAAGTAGTGATGAGACAATTACAGTTTGTTTATTAAGAAAAATGGCTAATACTAAGGATTAATCAAATTTAAATAAAAACATATTAATTTATTGTTAATACATAGCTAATAATGCTCCTTTAAAAGGATTAATTAAATTGATAACAATAAAAACAGAAGATTTATATCATAAATCCTCATATGCAAATTTATGCACATTATTATATGAGAGAGTTAAATAATTTCAATAAGAAGCTTAGTTAATTAATGGAAAAAAGAGTTCTAATGAACATATAAATTATCTTGATGCTGAGTCTGCATTTACTACAACCAAATCTAATTAAGAATTGTTTCCAATTCTAAATTAGGCTTTAAATGCTAAAATATAATTTTGGTCAAAATTAATAAATGGTTATCAAAATATCGACAATCTTTTATCTGATACTCTTAAAACAACTGAAAAGATGTTAAAATGCAAATAATTATTTGAAGAAAGATTTGATTTTGAAAATTTAAAATTAAAAAATGGAAAATGTACAGATGTTATATCAATGAGAATTTTATAAATGTTTTATTCTGGAATTTATACTAATTCTTATTTATCCTATTTACTTGAGAAATAGATTGAAGATTTATTAAAAAGTGAACGATTTAAAGAGGAATAATCATTGGATAATGTTTAATTAATTGAAAGTATGAGTTTTGTTTATTTTAATTATAGATAGAATAATAATACTAAAAACAAGCTTAGTTAGAAAAAGAGGAGAACTTATTGATATAAATATTAAACAGTTAAGTTAATTTTTGAATGAAAAGGATGAAGCTATTAAACATATTAAAAATTGCACACAATTAATGCCTAATTTTTTAGCTTAAATACATGATAATTTAATGGATAATTATATTTCAAATGGTTATTCTAAATTAATGATTCATGGAGAATCCAGTTTTTATGAATTATTGTCTGGATATTTAGAACCATGTAATATAAACTTATATAATTTTTATGATAATCAATAAGATTTTATTCTTAATATGATTTTGACTAAAGTTTAATCAAAAAATGAAACTATCCTATTTGGTATTGATGGTAAAATTTTAGGATTTACTAAATAATTTTATGATGAAGCTTTTCAAGATTAAACTATTAATTCTCGATAATAACTTTCAATATCAGAATTGTTAATTAGACAACCATTGATTGCCTTTTACATTCCATAAATTATAAATCAAACACAGGAACTTTAATCTTAAATAAACTCATCATCAAATTATTTACTCAATAATTTAAAATCATAATGGATTATTCCTGATAATCATTTAGATGCTTTATAACATTCTGCTTTCATATTATCTCAATTTAAAAAGAAGCAAGATTATTCTAATTTTAGATCCTTTAAATCTTAGACATAATCAAGATTTTCATAAAATTCATAAAATACTTAAATTGAAAATTATGAAGATAAAGATTTCTCAAAAGATTTAAAAAAATTAATAATGATTTAAGATAATCCAATTATATTATTACATCCTGAATATAATTAAATAATTGCACGTTCTATTACATATGATAATAATTAAAATAGTTCTCTTGAAATTCATTACAGTCTGTAATATAAAACCTTAGATTTAAAAAAAAATTAATTTGGATACTTTTAATTATCAATAAAAGAATTTAAAAAATGGATGACTACACTATCTTAAGTGGCACCAACAACTAATTAAACAACTTAGGATAATTATTAATTATAATCTGTAAATTTAATTAGTGATAATGGATTGCAAAGTAAATCTTATCAAATAAGTAATGTAAATTCAGAAATTTCAGAAAAGTTAGATGAAGGTTTAAAAGATATAAGACAAATTTAATATTTTAACTTAAGTTAATCAAATTTTAAAGATAATAATAATAGTGCCAATTAATCTAAAATATAGTCAATATCTAATTCAAGATTAATTGTATAAAAATTGGGTACTACTGAAAGAGCTTATGAATTAGAGTACTAAACTGTTGGTCAATAATCACTAGCTACTAATACAAGAAGGTGTAGTTCAAATTTATTTTTATAATCTCAATTTTCCATTTAACCTTTATATATATAACCAAAAATATTTGATAAAAAAATATCAGAAGAAGTAAATGATATTGAAAATGAAATGAACTCTATTGAAAATTAAGGACAGCTAAAAGAACAATTAGAAAAAATTTAAATAAACCCTATTAATGATGACTAAGAAGATTAAATAGATTAAATAGAAGTTGTCTAATCAAATAGTCAAAGTGAAAAAAAGAAATTAAACCTATTAGAAAAATTCTAAAAATCATAATTACGAAAACAAAAGGAAAATTATGGAGATTTTTAGTCAAATCCATCAAGAACTTCAACTAGTTCTACTTCGAAAGAGGCACTAACTATTGTACAACAATTGTATGATAATAAAAAATTAATTAATCCGTTAAAGAAAATTTCATTTCTATTTGTATTAATCTGTTGTGGTGTATTTATAATTAACATAATCAATGTTAATTAAATAGAAAATAATTTACTAACCTAAATTGATTAAATCAATAATGTCAAAAAACCATTAAATATTAATTATTTTTACTTTGGGGCATTGTTTTAGTAAATATGTAAAATGCTTCATTATATGAATATTTTAGAATTAAGTCCTCATTAAGTAAATAGAATAGAAGAATAACTTGTAAAAATGTATTAATATGGAAGAGAGATTATGTTTGATCATATAGTTGATGTTTCTATTTTGGCTAAGGTTATAGATATTACTACATTTCCATGTAAAATTATTGAGAATAATGAAAGAGTTACTTTAAATACAACTTTACATGAATTTTACACTATTTATTTTGAGCTTGCTGAAGATTTATATAGAAGAAATTTAAAATGTTCTAAAGATTGCGATTATTTTGATCTATATACACATGGTTTTATTCGATAAAATTTAGTTATCATGATGGAATTTCATGATTAATTGATTGATTAAATAACTTAATTTACTTTGGAAAAACAAAACGAAGTTAAAGGAGATTTCTTATAAATAATGCTCGCTGAAATGAGTGTAATATTATTAATAGTTGGAATCTAATTGAAAATCTGGTTATTTATAGATTAAATTACCAAACATATAATATTTTTGATTTCAAGATTGAATGAAATCTAGGCAATGGATTAGATATAAAAATTATCTCTGATTAAATATTACATAGAAACAGAAAGTAACAATCAATGGAAAATTACTAATTTTTCTGATTTAATGTTCAAATATTTAGAAAATAAGAAAGTTTAAAAAGTCATTATAATAAATTAAAAAGAATCAGATAAAATAAATAATTATAAATCAACCACAGCTTTATATTCAAGAATCTAAAAAACTTATTATATTAATAGAATTAATATTATTCTTACATTTATGTTATTATTGACCTGGCCTTTATATTTAATGACTGGTTACTTGATTCATATGTAAAATAATAACGACTTTTAACCTTCATTAGAGGTCACATTAAACATGGTTCAGTTTCGACATAATATGGATGCAACTGCTATTTTAGCTGGCATAATCAAAACTGAAAATTTACTACCTAATAATGATCTAAACTATATAAATCAAACTTATATTATAGAATTATTTTTAGAGCTTAAGAATAATTTATCTCCTATCATTAATAATATGGCCACTGTTGTGTTAGATAATGCTAATTAGAATAATGAAAAAAGTAGATTTGATGATCTATTAAATAATGATTTATGTTTATCTAGTAATTCTTCTGTGCTTGTAATGTGTGAGCCAAATTTAATCACGCTATAATATTATGAGTAATTATTTATGTTATTTTATAGCAAAGACGATTATAGTTATATCACTAAAAATGGAGCTTTGGGATTAGTAGCGGGATTTATTAAATTTATAAACTAAGATTTCAACTACGAATTTACAACTTTACACTATAATCCTAATCTTACTGAGAACTATGAGGAGATTAATACACAATAATTTAATAGTTTTTTAATATCATATTCTACTGATATATTAGAAGTAATGAAAATGTTTCTAATTTTACTTTAAGAAGAAAACAAATCAATAGCTGATCAGATTATGTCTATTATTTAAGCATATTATTTGGGATTTGGAATTAGGTAATTAATAAATATTTTATATAGTCTATTTTTTATTTTTTCTCTAACATCAATATTATGGATTTATTTCGCTTAAAAACAGATGAATTCATTAAGATAGATCTTAGTCTTAATCCCAGTTGATCTGATACTTAGTGCAAATATCAGAAGCTAAGCCAAAGAAATACATAGTTGGTTATACTCATGAATATTATATTAATTATTTCATTTTGGTTTTATTTTTGCTTTTTTATATAATTAATTACTTTTATAAAATTTTCCTGAAATTTTAAAATTAAAAATTTAACAAGTTTAACTTGATTTTATTTTTATATTAAATTTTATTCCATTATATCGGCTATTTGAAGAAAAGTAAGAGAAAATATAACATTTTAAAATAAATTATTTATATTAAAATATTATTATTTTTTTTAAATTTACTTTT